TAGAAGATCCAGGACCAAGCCTGACACCCCCAACATGTAGAGGTCAAGTAGAGAACGAGCCAGCCAAAAGGACTAAAATTGAGGACGTTGAGGCCTAGAGAGAAGGACATGCCCGGGGTCACAGAGTAGGTGGGGCAACAGAGCCTGAGCAAGGACCCACTGCCCCATACCTCCCTGGTAAGTGACTCCCCTCACCTTCTAGACACCAACGAATGCATCCAGTTCCCATTTGTGTGCCCTCGAGACAAGCCCGTGTGTGTCAACACGTACGGAAGTTATAGGTGCCGGACCAACAAGAGGTGCAGTCGGGGCTATGAGCCCAACGAGGACGGCACGGCCTGTGTGGGTAAGTAAAGCCCTGCCACAGCCCAGTAGGACTTGAGGAATTTGTCTTCCACTGGGGAGCGCTGGGGAGGCCCCCGATCAAGGTCCCCATCCCCTGACTTCTCCTGGCTGGCTGGAGGCTGCTTAGATCCCCGCTGGGACTCCAGGGAAGACCATGACAGAGGTTTGGAGAAGGCCCCCCACTACTCCCACCATCTGAAGGGTCCCTGGGGTGCTGTGCCCTGGCCAGAGGCGACTGTTCTTACTTCTCCCTTCTCACATTTCCTAAAACAAATTCTCCTACCTTAAGGTCAGCCCATCTTCTCCTACCAGGGATAGAAACTAGCTCCTACTACTCATCTTTGTCTGAATTTCTGAACTGGTATTTGTCTTCTTCCTCCCAAATGCTTCCCCCCACCCCCATCCCACCCCAACCCCCTTTCTCTTTTTCCCATTTTTTTTTCTCTCTCTCTCTCTCTCCCTCCCTCCCCCATCCTTTTGCAGCTCAAGTGGCCTTTTTAGGTGGGTATTCTTCTGCTGCCTTTAGAATCTCTGAGCCTCCCTCTCGGGCCTCATATCTTTCTCTAGGCCTTGGACTTTGCCTTCAGTTATATGCACTTTAAATCCCATCAATAAAGGAAAAAACAAAAACAAAAAAACTAACAACCTTTGTGGAAAACTAAATCTCTCCCGCTGCCTGTCTCTCTCTCCATGCCCAGTAGATTCTGTCACGTGCACCCTCGGAATGGACCGCGGGGGTGGCCATCTTTGAAAAGGGAAGTTTGGGAGATACGGATATTTATGTAATCTTAGTTATTTGTGAAGCTTTTTCTTTTCTGAGGAAAACAAAAAGGAAAGTCTCCCCTCCTACCCCATCTACCCTCCCTCACTTCTGCAGAGAATCATGATAGTCCTGTCTTTTCTGTATTCTCCAGTGTCACAAGCACCCTGTTTTGCCCTTAACAAAGATGGCTCCCAGGCGGTTGCCTGCTCAGTTGATTCACTCATGTATCATGTGCCTGCTGGTTTGGCCTGTGCTGTTTCTGCTCTGTGCGCCCTGACTTCCTGTGGTAGAGAAAGCCTTATTGGAGTTGGTGGTTATGATGGGAGGGGAAAGGGTGGCCCTATGGGACTCTTGATAAAAATGTTAAAGTTTGAATTTGCTAAGTCCTCCAGCCTCTTTCTGGAGAAATTATGCCAATAAACTCTCTGCTGGATATTAGTGCCTAGCTGGTGAAAACAAAAATGTGTCTGGGGCAAGTAGATGCTGGTTGGAATGTTGAATTAGCAGCAGCCCTTCCATCATGGGGCACTTGGAAAGCAAATCACGAGACAGGGAAAGTATCTGCCCTGAGCATGAGCAATGGTTTGGGTATGTGCACCAATGTTCACATTTGGGAGGCTGGAGTTTGGACCAGGCAAGGGATGTAGGATGAGCAAGGGGCAGATTGTGGAGGGAATATTCTGGGCCTTTTACCTGGAGGAAGTCACTTGTCTACACTGGGCCTCAGTTTCCCTAACCTAAATAGCAAGAGATTTGGTCTGGTATATCCCTAAAGCCCTTTCCTTTCTAAGACCCTTCAGTGTGTGGCTGGACAGAGACACAGCTAGTCTCAGGTTACCCTGATTTCTAGAAAGAATCTGGCAACTTGGTCTCCTCTGAAATATGCTTAGAAACCTGGAAGCTTCTGTAGCCAGAGCACGCTTTGGGAATGATGTAACACCATAGAATACTTTCACAAGCAGCCTCGGTAGTGAAGGCTTATTATAAATCACAGATCTACTCTTCAGGGGGAAAAAGAGTTGCCCCAAGATATAATAAAATCACACTTAAGAATGCAGCAAGCATTTTTAAAACATATTTAACAAAAACCTACCATCTTCTAATAGAATAATAATACTTCCAATAAATCACAAAACAGGAATTCCTCGTAGCTAGTACTGTTTTTACACTCAGAATAGGAGCTTAAATGAAAAGTCTCAAAATAAAAACAGCTACACTTTCACAAGAAAGCACATAACGACTTAAAAATTGCTCCACTTCTGGGCAGCCCACTCCTGTGCGTTCACATGGAACTAAAGGCGTGGAGAGGCCCGGAGAGGACGCTCAGAGAGATGAAGTGATCTGCCCAAGGTCACAGAGCCGGCGGTCCCCAGGCAAGGCTCGAGCCCTTTCCTAGCACAGCGTCTTGTCAGGGGGGTCATAGACAGAGCTGTCACTGTTCAGACTATTCCCTAGTCATTCTAGAAGCTGCTGCCTTTTTCAAAATGAACAAGTAGATCTCAGATAGTAAGATAAGTGAAACCCAAAACCCACAGGCAGTGGTTCCAAATGTAACGGAAAATGACAAGATAACAGTCTCCATTGACAGACTGCGTACAACAGCACAAGAAATAAGCGACAGGACAACTAGCGAGACAGCCTGCCGAGGACATCAGAAAATTCAGGATGGCAGCAAATTTCAGAGGATACCTTCTAAAGTAATCACCGTAAATCCTCGCACATGGAGGTCCTTGTAACAGGGTATATTTGCGTCATTTTACCCTACTTGGTGGTCGGGCCAGATGAGTTACCAAGATGAGTTCCAAGTTGCCCCAGCTGTCAAGAGCACAACTACTCCCAACTCCAGGGTAAGAAGGCTTACTCTGGATGTGATTCATCCATTCAACCAACATTAGTTGAGCACCTACTATGTGCCAGATACTAAGCAAGGCTCTGGGCATACAATGGTAAGTAGAGATGACATGGTTACTGTCCCCACACCATCTTCCTCCAGCCAGATGGAGAAGCCCAGTGCATGGGATGAGAGTAGGACTTACAGGGGCTTTCTGAAAAATCTAGCTAAATTCTTGGGTTGCTACACCAGAAAGCAAGCTCTTTGCATTCGTTCACTCAAATATTCATTCAGCAAGCATTCATTGAGAACCTCCAGTGTGACAAGCACTGGGTCCGTTCCACGAGGAAAGTGACAAGGTCCAATGAGGTGGGTCACGTCTCCTGCCCCCAAGATGCTTGTGTTGAAAGAAATACGAGGCTAAAAGATACAGAGGCCAGGCAGGTACTGACCCAACTCAGCGTTACCTGCCCCCAAACAATAGAGCCTCCCCTGAGGGCCAGGAATCCAGGCTTTCTGAGCCAAGTGCCCCCAGTCCAGGACATTTGCTGGTCTGTGCTGAACTGGTCCCAGAGCCTCACCTAAGCTAGCCAGGTGCAGGATCACTATCCCTCTTTCTTCCAATTCCCCTTCCTCTGATGCCCGCAGGTGCCTACACACTTGCCTTCCCCTTCTGAGCACAGAAAATTCAATCCTTTCTTTGTCCCTTAGACCCACTCCAGCTCCTCACATCATCCTTTCCTTATACTGGACTTGAGTTTGTAACAAAAATTGCAAATGGCTCCAGGGCTGACGAGTGGCAGGGACCTCCAGGGAAACATGTGAACAGAGGAGCTGGGCCCCAACTGGGGCAGCCCTGGCTCACTCTAATAGTAATAATAATAATAATAATGCCATTTTTATTCTGCCCAAGAACACTCCTCTCCCCAGGAATGTACCCCTTAACGTGAGAAGAAGAGCCATGTTTAGTGAGTTTGGCCTGTCTGGGCCAGATCTAAGCTCTTTAGAAAAATCAGCCTGTGTGATCCTCACAGCAGTCCCAAGCGGAAAGTGCTGTAATGATCCCCGTTTTACAGAGAAGCTAAGTGGCTCGTCCGGCTCACACAGCTGGGACAAACAGAGGAAGGACTCCATCAGAGCGGTCTGGCCCCCAGCCTGAGCTCTTAGCATGGACGCTTCGGGGGGCTAGCCGGTGGTGACACAAAAGCCTCCATCTCTCCGTGCTGCCCAGGGGCAGGGGATGGGCTGGGAAGGAGGAAATGGAGCCCTGGAAGAGTCGCACAACCGCTGCAAGAAGAGGTGAGGGTGTCCAGACCAAGTCCCCTCACCAGCTGGTGCGGCTGGCCTCAGCAAACGCAGAGCCGTGAACCACCCGTGCAGCCTCTTCTGTCGCCAGCCCTGCTCTGGGGAGGTGCCATTCTGAGGGCCAAGAGTTTGATTATGTGTCACTCTGGCTGCTATGGCCCCCTCCCAGGGTCTGGGCATCACACCCTGACCGGCACCCCTGGACTGTGACCCAACAGGAGCTCCACTCCAGCCTCCCGACAGGGCTGCTGGTCATCTCTCCAGAGCCCCACGGAGACAGAAGATGAACACTTCATTTTCTCAGGGAGCCAGCTGGGTTTTTCCAGCAGATTCCAGCGTGATACCCCACCCAGACTGCCAGCCCAGGAGGCAAGCCAAGTCCCCCCCCTTCTCTCCCTCCCCGGGGTCAGCCACGCTCTCTCCGTCAGTGTGGGCCAGAACCCAGCCACATCCTGTCAGGGCTGATGTGGTGTCTCCTTAGCAACAGACACATCCCAGAAGAGGAAGGAGGCGGCGAGAGAGCAGGGACTGGTTAACGGCGCGGACCACGCCAACCCCTCCTTCAGCAGCCGTCCTCTTAGGGAGCTGTGGTCGAAGGGTAGACCATGAGAGAAAAGTGAGAAACAAGAGGAAAAAACCCCCTCAGGGGAAGGAGCTAACATGTGTGGAGCGCCTATCATCTGCCAAGAACTTTACATGGATGTCCCCAGGGATCCCTGCACCCGGATACATGTTACAGGGACAAATGTTACTCACCTGTTTTCTCACCAAGAAGCAAGGCTCAGAAAGAACAAGCTCCCCAGGGTCCCATAGCTGGTGAAGTGGCAAGAGCTGTGATCCAGACTGGCAACTGGCCCCCACGCCTGGGTCCTGAAGCCTGCTGGGGAACAACCCCCAAGTAACGGACACCTGGGCAAATTATTCAACCGGCTGTCACTCGGCGTATGCTGGCTGGGCACTGCTCTCGGGGCCTGGCCCATACGGCTGTGTACAACCTGAATGGCCTGGTGACGTATGGCAGGCGCTAAACTACACAGGAATATAGGTGTCAGAAGGCGATAAGTCCCTCGCAGTGGGGGCATCAGCATATGGGGGCACGTTGAGAGTGCTGGGCTGGGGGCAGAAGGGCCCTTTAAATCGAGGGCGGGGGCGCTCCGGGAAAGAGGCCCCGGAGCAGAAAGGTAAAGTGGGTGTGCTGCCCTCCTGGCTCAGTTTTCTCATCTGTAAAATGGGGATAATACCTAATCACGGAGTCATTTTTTTAAACAAGATGAAACAGAACACTTGCCATGGTGCCTGGCACATAGTAAAGCCCCAAATAAATTTCAAATGTTAATGATATTAACAAGTAGCAGAGGCCAGGTTGGAGCCTGGGTCTACTCAGTGCCGAAGCTCACGTGGCTCCCAGCACGCCCTGCTGTGGCCTGGTTCTCCGGGGAGTCTGCGGTGTGGGAGATGTGGAGGACCCTGGCCACCCTCGGGCAGCGGACAGCTTTGCAGGGAAGAGACCTCAGGACTGAAAATAGCCATAAGGAAGCAGAGCGAACCTTCCTGGGGCCTGGGCTGTGGTGCTGTTCAGCTTAGTTCTCACGCAGCGCCATTCCGAGGGAAAAATCATAAAATTAGGTACACTGAGCGAGGAGACTGTGCCGCTGGCCGGGCTGCACAGGGCACGGGGTCCGCCTGCAGCTAGTAACCCGGCCTGGGGATTGGGCCCTCCACCACCACAGAAGCCTAGAACAAAGCGCAGAGGGACCTGGGAGGTCATGTAGTCCTGCCCCATCCTGTTCAGCTGTGAAAACTGGGGCCCAAAAGGAACAGTGACTTCCGGGGGACCACAGCCTAGCGGGGAATCGGACTCCGGCCTGGGGCTCCTCCTTGCTCAGCCTGCCTCCTTCTCCAGAAAGCTCAAAGTATTTCATACGCACAGTTGTATCAACAGTTTCTGAAATAGGAAGGGGTGGGGGCTCGGGGGTGGGGGGCAGATCTTGTCCTTTCCATGGTGCTGACCCAGAATCAGAGTCAGCGTAAGTGCCCACCAAGCGAACCAAAGAACCATGCTTGGCCCATGGAACCAGCTAAGGAAGAGCTGAGTGGAAGTACTAGGTGCACAGAGGGTCCTGCTCGGCTGAGAAGGGAGGCTGCAGCCAAGGTCGGGCACAGGGGATGAGGTGCGTACTCAGCCCCAGGAGGATTTACCCACCTTAAAACCGTGGCGTTCAGGGACCACCAGGCAGGGGCTGAGTGGGGCCGGGATGCACGCTTCCTCCTCCCTCCCTCCCCTCCCAGGACAGGTGGAGATCACGAGCTGAGCCACGAGATCACGGCAGGGCAACTCAAAGCAGCTGCCCAGCACAGGGGAGGGCCTAGCGTCGCTGCCTCTACCCTTTGAGTTAGTCAGGGGCCACGTGCAATTGAACTGTATCATTCAGCGGCCACTTACCTGTCTGCATCTGCCTAAGCTGCTTCTCGGGTCACGTTGCCCCAGGGGCCAGCGGATTTCACATCTGTATACTCCTGTCCTTGCTGCCTGTCTCTTCCTGCCAGCCCTCCTGGTGGGCTGCATTTCTCACTCCCCTGACAGGCACCTGGGGAGAGGGGGAGGAGATGAGTAAGACCACCCACATTACCCCTTCCCAGGAAGTCCCTGTCCAGAACCTCATGAACCTGGCCTGCCTGCCAGAAGGGAAGTCTGGGGCCCAGAATACTTGCTGTAGAGAGAACTTGTCCTTCGTGCCAGCGCCACAGCAGCCATGAAGGGCCTATCACCCAGAATCAGTAATGCAGCTCTCCCTCCACCAAAAGATTGATCTGAGGGCTGTCCTCCCTCCACCCCAGACCTGAGTGCAGAGCTCCTGGGGAAGGAGAAAAGCCCAATCACCTCCCCAACTGCCAGTGGGGACCATGGCAGAGGAACAAGCTTGGGGCACAGGGAGGAAGGTAAACCCCATACATACCTTCACTGCATTTTTTCAGGTCCCCTGGCTCAAGATTTACAGGCCTTGAAGGCAGACACAGAGAGGAAAAAGTTAGGAGAGGGGTCTCAGTCTCACCCCAACACTGAATGTGTCTCGTGGGCCAGAATGCCACATTCTTTCTTAGACAGCTGATCCAAAATTCCTATGGCCCTCCATCCATCCACCCCTCCTTCCTTCCATCTAACCTTACTTAAAACATTCTCTTCGCCCTGAGACTCTGGGATCAAATGGACTAAGGCTTGATCCCAGACACCCCACCTACAAGACCTGTTAGTCACCTGAAGCCGCTTCCTCTCTGAGCCTCAGTTTCTTCCTCCACAGAAAGGAAGCCTAACAACTCACAGAGCTGTGGAGCTAAAGCATGCAAGGTGCGCAGTGCAGGGCCTGATAAAATGCAGATATTATTATAAAATCTGTCCCAGGCCCTTCAATCTCCTGCTTTCATTTCTAGCACTGCCTGATTTTACAACAATCCATAAGTCATTAACTGGGGCAATGTTAGACCTATAAGAATCCTTCCCAAAGAGACACATCCATCACTCAAATGCAGAGTTCATTTGGGGACCAGGTTACACAGTATCTTTCCTTTGAAGAGTTCCAGCCCTGTATTTAGACCTGCACTGCGGAGCACAGGGCCGATCGGTACGCATCCGTTCACCTGCTCTCCAGGTTCTGTGAGCATCCATCTCAAGCCAGGCAGCCCTCTCATTCACCTCTGCACCATCAGTCATCTCCGGCACCCATCTTATCTGTATGCATCCACTTATCCATCCGTCTGTCCGTCCATCCATCCATCCATCCACCCACCCACGGTACTTCACTCCTTAGGGCCCCAGGCCCAGACTTTCCAGGAAACATACTCAGCCCCAGGAGGATTTACCCACCTTAAAACCGTGGCGTTCAGGGACCACCGGGCAGGGGCTGAGTGGGGCCGGGATGCACGCTTCCTCCTCCCTCCCTCCCCTCCCAGGACAGGTGGAGATCACGAGCTGAGCCACGAGATCACGGCAGGGCAACTCAAAGCAGCTGCCCAGCACAGGGGAGGGCCTAGCGTCGCTGCCTCTACCCTTTGAGTTAGTCAGGGGCCACGTGCAATTGAACTGTATCATTCAGCGGCCACTTACCTGTCTGCATCTGCCTAAGCTGCTTCTCGGGTCACGTTGCCCCAGGGGCCAGCGGATTTCACATCTGTATATTCCTGTCCTTGCTGCCTGTCTCTTCCTGCCAGCCCTCCTGGTGGGCTGCATTTCCCACTCCCCTGACAGGCACCTGGGGAGAGGGGGAGGTGGTGGAAATGAGTAAGACGAGATCCCCACCCTCTGAGAGTTTACCAAGGAAACAGGGACAGAGGGAAGAAGGCCCTTGCCATCCACAAGGTCCAGTAAGCTCTGTATAACATTTCCCCTTCCCGGGGCTTTGCTCAGACTGCTCTCAGGTGGTGGCTGGTCCCCAATCACTTTTCCATTACAGAAATCAGTAACTTGAATTACTCTAAAATATCGAGCCCCATCATGCCTCTGCAAAGCTAATTTTTCTGTGTCCACATTTGGCCACGTGCTTCTCCCTGGGTCTGGAATCTGCCTTTAGGAGGCAATCCAGGTAGAATGGAGTCTTGCACCCGACTGTGACACACTGGCAGAGTGAGAGCAGGGTTTGGGCTCTGACATATAGGTTTGGGTCTTTACTCTGACACTTACTAGCTGTGGGCGCTTGTCAAGCTACCTAACCACCTGGAACATCAGTTTCCTCATCTATAAAATAATTCAAATATAACCACCCACCAGAGTGTTAGGGAACTAAATGGAATTATAATGTACATGAATGTTCCTGGCATATATTAGAGAATCAGAGAACCCTTGGATAAATATGTTTATTCTATGCAAGAACCTGGAACCTGGCTATAAGTCTGTATCACAGGCCACTGTATAATGAGGTCCTGCTGTAACTTCAGCAGTAACAATAATATTTTACTTTGGAGAAATAGATTAGCATTTACAACGATGCATTCTCTGCGTGCTCTCATTTTGCAGATGACAGAGTTGGGACTCAGAGTAGCTAAGTGCATGACTCGGGGTCAGCAGACTGCGGCAGCCCTCTGACTCCCTTCCCACTCCTCCACCTCCTCTGCCATCCCCAGTTCCAAACCGCAAGTCCCGGTGCAGCTCCAGGAGGCTGCAGGCTAAGTTCTGCCAGCCGGCAGACGCTGACCCGACAAGCCCATTAAATGGCCCCTTAGAGGAAGAGCTGGGAGCTCGGCACCGTCTGCCCCAAGCACATTCTCGGCCAGTTTCTCACTGACTCCTCAAAACCATTTGTTCTCAGCCTTTTCTTAGTGGGTGGTCACATACCTCTTTGCGAATCTGCCAAAAGCCTCCCCCCCCCCCCCATAAAGGCACATCGTTTTGCACCTAAGTGCAGGGGGTGGGGTCAAGGCTCAGAGCTCCTGGGGTAAACCTGGGCTGTTTTAAGATTTTCTTAGGTACCAGGGACCTTCTTCTTTTGGGCGCCCCACCCCTCATCCTATCAAGCACTGTCCTAGACCTCCACAACTCACCCTGAATTACACACACACCCAGAGTCGAGTTGAATTATGGTTGGCTGACAGTGCTACATTTTGTAGATATGCTTAATTATGCTTAATTTCAGTTCTGCGTTTTCTTTTCCTATTTTGGAGCCAATAAACTTTTTTGGTAAATTTTATTGAAATGTACCATACATATAGAAAAATACACAAATCTTAAGTGTACAGCTCCACAAGTTCTCACAAAGCAAGCCCATCTGTGTAACCAGCACTGCTGGAGAGACAGATTGTGAGCACCCAGAAGTCTCCCCAGGCCCCCTTCCGTTCACCACACCCCACCCAGGGCAGCTGCTTTCCTGACTTCTAACACCATAGATTCGTTTTGCCTGTATTAGAATTTGTTACAAGTGGAGTCGTCACTTGCACTCATTTTGTGTCTCGTTGCTTTTCTGGAACGATAAACTTTTATTTGGGTCTCAGACATTTTCCAAGGCCCATGAAAAGGCTCCTAGGCTCTAAGTACTGTCGAAATCAGGGGTGCTCGACTTCGTTTTCACACTAGAATCTGCAGAGAAACTTTAAAAAAAATCCTGATGCCCAGGCTGCACCCCCAGAACAATAAAATCAGCATCTCTGGGGATAGGACCAGACATCAGTGGTTTCTCTTGCACCCCAGGTGACATCGATTGCAGCCAACGATGAGAGGCACTGGTCTGAGCAATTTTGTCAAGTATTAGGACCCCTATTTTTACAGCTGGGGAAGGAAACTGAGACTCAAGGAGTCTCCACCATGTGCTACTCTCATGAAGCCTGAACTCCAATTCAGGTCTCACTAGGAGTGCTATTTGCATTGCCTTCATCCTTGGTCAATAGTAAAACCAAAACCAGGTTGCAGGTGCCTCCTGCCAGAAACCTTCCTTATTATAAGTCCTTCCGGAACTGTGGAGAAGGGAGCTGGGGGTTCCCAGGAAAAAGGCAGCACCCCAGGGGCTGGCCATAGGGAGAGTCACCACCAACTGGACCCCATCTTTGCCCCACACCTCCTCTGAAAGCAGGTGGAAGTGGCTGTGGGTTTGCGGGGGTTCTAGGAACGTTTCCCAGTCTGCTTTGATTCCAGGGTGCAGTGCACGATTCTGCCACTCGGTGGCACAGTGAGCTTCCGTAAACCCTGCGGTTTTCACACACCCCAAAGGAAGCTAGAGGGCAGAGTCTGGCAACAGGAACCAAGGGAAGGGCAGCCCAGAGCTGCTGGGGGTTCCTGTGCTCCCTGGGGCCTGACGGGCCTGTTCCTGGCTGGCAAGGGGGATACAGGGACATGGCTGCGGCCGGACCCGCAGGAGGGGCCACACCCCCTGTAACTGAGCCAGCAGAGGAAAGCCCGGGAGAGAGAAGCCCCGGCTCACCTGCTTCTCCCCACTCTGCCCTTCACCAAGCTGCCCCTGTGGACCCCACAGTTCTGTGAGGAGCACAGCCCACCCCCACTCCCGTGATGCCTGGAGGTACCAGGCACAGCTCCACGTCCTTACCTGGGAATCTGTCAAATCCTTCCCTAGGATGGCTGAGGACCTCGAGCTCTGACAGGGTCCCTGAAGCTGGATTAATCATCTTCCACACAGCTTGGAGTCAGACTGCCTAGATTCAAAGCCAAGATCTGCCACTTCCTAGTTGTGTAACTTTGGGCAAGTTATTTAACTTCTGTGGGCCTCAGTGTCCTCATCTGTAAAATGGGAATAATAGTCCACACCATAGGGTTGTCGTGAGGATTGAATGATTATGTAGGGTCTTAGCCTAGTGCCTGGCACATACCAAGTGGTAAATGTTAGCTACTATGGTTTAATATTACGACTAATAACCTTGCATACAGGACAGACAGAATGAACCCACCCTCATGTTAAAGAACAACCTCCATTGTGACCACCCACACACACCCCAGGTTTGCACACAGGCAGTGGGTCCAGGCCTCCCCATGGTTCAGGCAAAGGCCCAGCTGCCCCTCCAGAGCAGCAAGTCCAAGCGTGGAAGCCACCCAGACTCCCATTCAGCACCACCCAGAGGGGATCTCCCCAAAGCCCCCACCCTGAGGCCAGCGCCATTGTCCCCCCAGTCTGATGAGACCCTCTCTTCGTCCACAGACCTGAGTGTGTGACCCTGGCCGCCCTGCAGCATAGGGCATCTTCCATCGGGATGCCATCCCCATGGTGTCAGAGTGAGCACTGGGTCAGGAGAGGTCGGCTCTAAATTTGGCACAATCGTCAACCAGCTGTGTGACCTGGGGCAAGTCGTGTGACTGCTCTGGGCCTCCATTCTGCCTCATTTAGATGATCTTTAAATCCCCTCCCAGCTCTAGCATATGGTTTTACCAAAGCATCTGGCACACAATAGGTGCTCAATAAAGGTTACTTGGTTTTATAAAATGCAAGACACAACCCTGCTAGATTTCAACATTCACATGCTTTTCTAGTCTTTAAAACTGAGTGACTTCTGTGATCCAACCCCTAACAGGGCCCAACCAGGTTACGAGCTGAAAAAATGGGTATTTAATCAATTCATTACTTACTTTTGCCCTGGCTTTCAGTCAAGCGTTTCCCTCCACCCGAGGCTGCAAATGCCCCATAAAGGCTCCAGATTAGAGGATCTGGAATGTAGCCTCCCGACTAGACTACAAGCTCCAAGAAGACAGGGTGGGTCCTGCCCATGTCAGGTTCACCACTCCTTCAGGGACATAGTCAGCCCTACCTCCTTAGCATGAGGCGGGTGGGCAGCTGAGCCTCGCCTCACTGGAGGCCTGGGGCACAGAGCTGGCAGCCCACCACCATAAGGGAGAGAAGCAGCACAGAGCCTCAAGCTGGGCAAGTCCTTTTATTGGAAAAAGAAATAATAAAACCAAAGGCCACTGCATCACCTGTGCCCAGCCATCCCACAGGAGAGGCACTGGTCAGACATAAGGCCCGGCCACACAGCGGGCCAGGGAGGGCATGGGCCAGGCCCAGGGGTCAGGGGGCTGCCATGGAGCTCACTGGGTCGCCGCCGTCTGGGGGGGATCCTTGGACGCAGACCCACCCAGTCGGGCTCAGGGACCGGGCTGCCCTCTGCAGCTCCCTGGGTAGGCATCTCCCTCCCAAAGGCTGCTCTCTTGTCCAAAAGAAAACCAAGCCCCTCTTTGGTTCTAGAAGGCTACCAGCAGTGGCTGGTCTTTCAGATGCCCTTTTAGCACCTCCTGCCAGCTGAGGCAGGCAGCCGGTTTCTGTCCCTCATCGGGGCACCAGGACAGAGCTGCTTCCTTCCCACTGGCCGCCCCGGGCCTGGGCAGGCAGGGCCTCATTGGCTGGGTGCTTCTCTTCCCTTTCAAGAAAGGAGTTTGCCTTTTCCCCTGCAGGTTGCCAGCTCCTTTGAACATCCAAGGAAGCCTTGTTTACGCAGCCTTAGAGAGCTCCGGAGCCTGGGCGGGCTGAATATGCAGCATGTGTGGCCCTGTTGCCTTGTCATGGGGGGAGGGGTGTTGGGAGAGGGACATGGGAGGCCCCAGAAGGTTGGCTCTGCTCCTAGACCCGCAATTTCTCTTTTGCTAGAATGTACACAGTAGAATGAGGAGGTGGGGAGAACTTTGCAGGTGGGGGGAGAGACCAGGAAGAAGAGCCAAGCTGGCAGCCCCAGGCAAGGGGCGAGGAGCTTTAGGACATTTATTTACAAAGGGACAGGCTGGACCCACGCAGGGAAGCAGCCACAGACCATCACAAAGGTAAGACAGGTTGCAGAGAGGGGCGGTCATTGGCCTGGCAACTAAGCAGAACAGACCAGTGCGCTCCCACACCTACACTCACACAAGCGCACTCTCGCACATGCGTTCGCACGTGTGCTCGTGCACAGGCCTGCACAGCCACACGCGCATTCGTGCACACAGTGCTCTCACGTATGTGCGCTCACACGCTGGCCTGCATGCACACGCACTCCCTCTCTCGTGCACACAGGTTCTGAACCCGAGAAGCTGGCTCCAGTCCTGGAGGTTCACAGCCCCCAAAGCTACATGTCTCCATGAAGCATTTCTGTAGACCCCCTTATAACAACCTCCCAGAGCCCCAGGCTGTGTGCCCCACAAGCAGTGCCCCGTGTCCTGCAAAATCTCAGGAGTTGGATGTTTCTTGGCAAGGTCACTGTGGCCTCCAGGCTTTGGATGGGGGAAGGGGAAGCCATGAGTCTAGAAGGGGTCAGGAGGGGACTGAGTGGCTCCCATCTCCCCAGACCTCGAATCCGGGGGAGGCAGGTTCACAGACAGGCAGAGCCCCTGCAGTGGCCCCAGAAAGAGCAGACACCGGGAGCAGGACCCTGGGGGGGGCGAGAGTCCTGGTGGATGTGCGATTTGGGCTGAGGAATCATGCGGGATGGGAATTCTCTCTGGGACCTGAGCCCCACCCCAGGGTGTTGGGAGAGGAGCAGCAGAAGAAAAGGGCTTTCCAAATCGTGTTGCCCACCCGCCCCAGCCTTGCCCTGGAAGATCTGGCTGCGGTGACCAGACCTGCCCCCTGGGGAAAGTGCCAGGTCCGGAAGTGGGCCGTCCTGCCAGGGGTGAGGGGCAGGAGTGCGGGAGGGGCGCGGGGAGACGGGCCCCGCAAGGACGCCGGGCCAGTCACCCTCCCTCCCGCCCCGGGGAGCAGCCGGGGCCCAGAGAATGACTCAGAAGCGGGTGCTCTGGTAGCGCAGCCGCCGTAGGTCTGCGAGGCCCTCAGTCCGGCCGTACACCTCCCTGCAGGGACTCTCGGCCAGTCACCGGGCCCCCGCCCCGCCGCCCCCGCCGCTGCTGCCGCTGCCCGAGCTGCTGCCGCTGCTGGAGCTGCCGCTGCTGCACCTGTCCTCGTAGATGGAGATCTCGATCTGCGGCGGCGTTAAGGACGGACCCCCTGCCAGCTGCCGAGAAGGGGCGGGCGGACCGGCGCACGGAGGCCCGCAGGGGAGCGGGCGGCCGGCGGGGGCCGCTGCCCCGACGGCGAGGACGGCGAGGACGGCGAGGACGGAGGCTTGCGGCACTCGCCACCAGAGCCCGGGCCGCCGCGCTCCCGCACGCACCCACTCGGTGCACGTCCACAGCGACCCCGACGGCCACGCGCACCCGGGTCAGAAGCTCCCGCTCTAGTGGGTCTGGCTACCAAACCCCAGGACGGGTGGTGTCACTGCCCACGGCAAGTGGGAGGACTTCGGAGTCCTGCTTTCAAACCCCGACTCGCCTACTCTCGAGCGATGTGGCCTTAGACGGGGTCGTTTTACGTGTTACCCATTAATGATTGCATATGTAAAATGGTGGTAATCCGAGAACCTTGGGGTTGTCTGGGGACTGACTGAAATCACGCATGTTAAGCAGCAAGCACAATGCCCGCTCCGTAGGAAAGGCTCAATAAAAAGAAGCCCGTCTGACAGGGCTTTGTAAACAGAAGATTCCAGTGTTTGTGGTTTCTTTACTCTTTTTCCTCTCAATTTTCTAGCAAAAATTTATTTTTTAACAATTTACTCTCATTGCTAATGACTGCGGGCGGGATGTATGCACACACTTGTCCAGGTGAGCAGACCTATAACCCACGCTTGGACCAGCCGCCCATCAAAACTTCATTTTTCTGATCTGTGAAAGGGGGACGCACACACAGGAGTACATGAGACTGTAGACGTGTAAACGGATGGGAGCTCTGCCTATTCCCTGAGGGGCAATACAGCCTCATAGCTAAGTGTGGGCCTGGGCTCCAATCACGGCTCTGACGTCAACCAGCCAGGTGACCCTGAGCCAGTGACTGACCTTCAGTGTGTTCACTGACAAGGGGAATAATACGAGTCACCCACCTTTAGGGGTATTATGAGAACTACATCGTTTCAAAGCAGTTATTATGATACCTGGCATGTGTTAAGAAGTGAATAAAGGTAGCTAGATAAAAGCAAACCCTGAAATTCACAAATGGCATTGATAACTTATGGGGGAGGGGAGCGGATGACCCGTGATGTGGGGAATCCTAGGAAATCCCTGAGCAGAGGCCCCTAGGGTGGCCCCTATTTCTTGGTAGCCTCACCAGGGACCCTACTGGTTGGCAGCTCTGTGCCCTTACACAGAACAGCCAGGAAGGATACAACCCTCATCCCGCGCTCCACGGGGTCCGTGAGCAGGAGGCCTCGAGGGGCAAAGATCTTCTCATTCTGCTCCTGGATGTAGCGGGAGATCTTCTTGAGAACCTGCAAGGAGAGGGGCCAGTTGAGGATGAAGATGCAGCAGGGGAGCCCTGGGGGAGGGGATGCAGGGCAGTCAGGAAGGGAGCCACCTTCTCATAGTGGGTCTCCATGCAGAGGAAGATGAAGTAGGCCGTGGCACAGGCCAGGCAGCCCTCAAGATAGGAGCTGCCCCCAATCTTCTCGGCCTCCGCATAGAAGCTGTTGAGGGTCTTCACAGTCTCCTCAAAGAGCTGCCGCTCAATCTGGAGGGAGAGAGGGACAGGGAACCATGTTGAGGTCAGCCTCCCTGGACTGTGGACAGTCACAGGTGGGAAGGAGGATGGCAGTGGTAGGGCCACGCTGGTGGGGGGAGATGCCCACAGGCAAGACCAGAGAAGCTGCAGGTGCCTGTGAAGCACTCGACTGGGAGTCAGGAGACCTTAGGAAAGGCTCAATAAAAAGAAGCCCGTCTCACAGGACTTTGTAAACAGAAGGCCTGGGGTCCAGTCCAGATTTGACCATCAACTAGCTGTGTGGCCTTTGGCTAATGACTTAACTACTCTAGCCTCAGTTTCCACATCTATAAAATGGGAATAAGAATGGCTACTTGACCTCCCTTGGAAGCAGGAAACTCCCACCATATTGTAGATGTGAACATTTTCTGCAAGGGATCAGGCAGGAATTCTAGTGACTGTGCCACCCCTCCCATTTTGATAGCTGTGAAAGTGCCCCGGTCCTAATCAGTAGGGGCTCCCCATGTTTGAATGGGACTCCAGCTGCATAAGACTGATTGTGTGAGACCTCGGGAGTGTCTCTCCAGGAGGGGGCACTTCCCTCAAGCTAAGAGGTCATGAAGAACACAACAGCCTGCTGTTGTGCTTAACTGTCCTGCCTGCATCCATAATCATAACAGCTAAATCCCTATGCCTTCTATTTTTAAAGGCACTTTCAGATACCAATGTAACATTGTGTGTCAACTATACTTCAATTAAAAAAATAATAAGATGTTTATAAATTCATCTGGCAACTGTAGATTAAAGTAAGCAGTTGCTTGGGCACCTGGGTGGCTCAGTCAGTTAAGCATCTGACTTCAGCTCAGGTCATAATCTCAGGATCCTGGAAAGGAGCCCCTTGTCAGGCTCTGCGCTCAGCAGGGAGTCTGCTTCTCTGTCTCCCTCTGCCCCTCCCTCTGCCTCTAGCCCTCCCATCTCCCTTCCCCTGCTCACACTCACGTGCTCGGACACATACACGCGCTCTCTCCCTCAAGTAAACAAATAAAATCTTTAAAAAATAAATTAATTGACTGCTTCATCTGAAAAAAGCTTTGCAAAGTCTAATCTTTTTTAAAAATTTAATAAAAGTAAGTATATAAATAACACACTTTCACGCATTTTTTCACTTTCAGCAGCTCAGAGCTCTGCTCTGTGGTCCAGGCCACCATCATCTCTGTCCTCTTTTTTTTTTTTTTTAAAGATTTTATTTATTTATTTGACAGAGAGAGAGCGAGAGCAGGAACACAAGCAGGGGGAGTGGGAGAGGGAGAAGCAGGTTTCCCGCTGAGCAGGGAGCCTAATGTGGGACTCGATCCCAGGACCCTGGGATCATGACCTGAGCCGAAGGCAGACGCTTAACGACTGAGCCACCCAGGCGCCCCATCTCTGTCCTCTTAACTGGTCTCTCTGCCCCCAGCCCTGCCAAGGGAGCCTACTAAAGTTAGAGCATGTCACAGCTCTGAAGAAGAGCTTCCAAAGCCTTCTCATCTCCTCCAAGTAAAATCCAAGAAGTCCTTACAATGACTGCTAGGCCCTACAGGGTCTGGTCCTGCATCCCCTGGGCCTGCCTCTTACTCTCCTGCCCCCTCAGTCCCCACTCCGGCCACACCGACTGCCCTGCTGCTTCCTGCAAATGCACAAGTCCTTTGCGCCTGTGTCCTTGGATGCAACACTCTCCCACCCCAGGCTCAGGTCTCACCTTACCTCATAGACCTCCCCGGCCACTCCCCTTTCCCCAGCTCTCCCAGCCCCGTGACCTACCCCCTTATTTTTCTAGTATTGGTCACCCCCAGAGCTGCTACATATTTACTTGCTATTTTATTCTTCATACCCTCTAAGAGAAAATAGACTCCCAAGACTTCACTTCTAGATCCCTCATGCCTCATACAGAGTAGTTGCTCAGTAAATACTTGCTGAGTGAACTTGGCCAACGTTACACAGCTTTGACCTGAGTCCTTGCTCTTCAATACATAACCGTACACTAGACTGGAAGGGCAGGCTCCAAATTCAACAGGTGTCAAAGTGTCTATAGCCCCATTTTTTTACATTCCTCAGAACACACCCTTCCCCACTCACCACTATAGGATCAGAACGGTCCATCACATAGGTTAGGGACCTTCCACACCCATCTAGGACCAAGGTCTCCCCAAGAATAGTCAGAAGCTTTGGGGTTCCCAGTCACTGTCCCTACACAGATCTGGAGTAAACGCATTAAGAGAACATTATGCTCTACCCTAAGAGTCACCATGCCCCAAAGGTCAGGCATGTCCTTGGATGAGGAGACCCCCATAGCTCCTTAAAAGCTGGTTAGGGATCGGATTAGCCAAAGGCAGCCCTGCCCCACCTTCCCAACCCCCTTCAGATGGTCCTGGGCTGCTGAATGGAAGAGTCAAGGTCTGCCACCGCCCTCCAGAGGGCCGACTCTACAACCCCAGGCCAGTTCTACCAAGGCTCAGGACGAGGGCCATACACGCCCCTGAGCCAGAAGCAAAAGTCAACAGCAGGAGCTGACGCTCGCAAGGGGCTGGTGGTCCATGAGACACCCAGGTAGCTAAGTCTGGATGGAGAGGCTGTGGGCAGAGCCCTAGGTTGATGACTTGGGCATCAGGATTTTTTAAAGCTCTGCAGCTAGGGCTGAGAACTGCTGCTAAAGAGTGGAGCTTGCTGGGACCGCTGTCGTCGCAGGACTAAGGAATGTGCTTTTGTCTAATAAGCTCTCCAGGTGACTCTAGGGGGGCTGCTGAACTAGGACATCTGAGGCCTTTCCAGCTCTAACTTTCCATGCGGGGACAGCAAGGCAATGTCAGGGACATGGTTTAACTCTTCCATGTGAAGTGACTGAACAAGTGATGTGACACATATCAGTTTTATCCTGGAAAAAAAATACATTTGATTAAGTCCTTGATTCCATCATGGCCTGTGTTCCAAGCTGAGAAAAAAAAACCATCCTCACCCGGCTGTCCAGCTCTGGGGGGAATTTGGTCTGGAACTGACAGATGGTCCCATCACTGTAGTCTCTCTGGATAAAGACCTTGGTGGCCAGCGAGGCACTTCGCCGCAGCTCCTGCAGATTGTGGACCTGAGGAGGCACACGGGAGACACACATTCAGGGTGACCATCCATCGACATTTGTCCAAGACTGAGGGGGTGTCAGGATGTGGTTCTGACAGCACTAAACCAAGAAAGTTCCCAGCAAACCAGGACCTTAGCCACCCTACAGTGCTCCAGGAAGGCCATGGAGAAGCAGGACTGTGGAGCTTACCAGACAAGATACCTCAAGCTATCCCAGAAAGATCTAGAAAAAGCATGAAGCAGAGCCAAAGCTGAGCCAAAAGGGGAGGTTCTGGAACCATCAACAGAGCCAGAAACACATTTTAACAAGAAGAAAAGACTTCCTGGTGGCTGGCCCAGATCCTTCTCTCTCTCTCTCTCTCCCTCCCCTCCACCACCCCACCCCTTCCCCCTCATCCCCCTCTCTCCATTTTCCTGTCTCTCTCACACACACAGAACCTTTCACACCTTTGTTCACTTAGCAAGTATCAAATATTCAGAACTCATCAGGCCTCATGCTTGGGGAATCCAACCCTGAACAAGACTGAGGTCTCAGACCCCAGAAGTGGGGCTGACAGCAGAGTTGAGGAGGGAAGCATGTAGGACAGAGGAGGACCTGATATGCCCACCACCTTGGAGGGAGATTCAGGTTCAGGCCAAGTTAAAGCCCAGGTCAGAGAACACCAGGAATAGCTTTCCCATGCAGGACCTCTCACCACAGGAAAGAGGGGCCCCCAAATGCTCAAACTTCCCCAGAGAAAATTATGGATAAAGTGGGCTGAAGCCAGAAATTAAAGAAACATCTTGCCCTGGTAGGAAGGAGTGGAGCAACTCTGCCCCTTGCCCACACCTGCAGACTGGACATTGATACAGACTCTAGCATTTGAGGGGAGTGGGCTCAATTCCACAGAAGGACAGGGCCTCTTTCTTCCACTTCCAGCCTTAGCCACCCACATTTGAAACTAGCATTCCACTGGGTAAAATATGCCAAACATTGGAACCACATGGAGACTAAGCCCCAAGGGCAGAGTGAACACACAGCCAGTTCATCCTGCGTAATTAAGGTGAATCCATTCAGTCATTCCTTTCATTTATTGAGTCCCTACTACTGCCAGGCTCTGGGGATGCTGAGCAAAAGACAGTCTGTGAGCTCCAGGGAGGAAGACAAGTAAATATATAATAAATTAGCCTGTGATAAATGCTTCAGAGAAGTAACATCTTAACCCAGAAATGCTTACTCAGAAGAGACTTCCTGAGGTCTGTGTTGAGTCATAAAGAAAGTCCAGGACTTGCTAGTGGTAGGGGGCAGGCAGTGAGCGGGGAGAGGATGTAAAAGCAACCCAGACAGAGGGGAGAAACTTGCGCAAAGGAGCAAAGATGGCAGAGAACTTGGTCTACTCCAGTGACTGCAGGCAGATTTCAGCAAAACAGGAGTTGGTTTGTGGATTAGGTAAGAGCAGGGGGGATGACAGTATAGAGGACAGTGAGATTACAGAGAGCTGGGGGCAGTGGGGAGGCTCTACTAGAGGGGAGGGTGTAGGGTGGAAGACACTTAAACTTGCTTAAAAGCTGGGGGAAAGAGGGGTGCCTGGGTGGCTCAGTCGGTTAAGCATCCAACTCTTAATTTTGGCTCGTCATGATCTCAGGGTGGTGAGATCGAGCCCCGTGTTGGGCTCCACACTCAGCAGGGAGTCCGCTTCAGATTCTCTCTCCCTCTGCCCCTCCTTACACCATACTCAAGTGTATATTTTGCTATCTCGCCCATGCTCTCTCTAGCGAGTGTGGGTACTCTAAAATAAATAAATCTTAAAAAAAAAACTGGGGGAAAGAATAAGTAATGAGAGAGAGGAGCAGATAATTGGTAGATCAAGGTTCTGAAAAGGGGAGAATCAGAGACTTTCCTAAATCCAGACAACCCTTGCTCTTCATAAGAGAAGTGGTCCCCAGAGTATTGGGACTGAATTGAAGAATGTATAGGTACTCCTCTCATCTTAGTAGTCCTTGATTCCTCCAATCAAGGTCTGGACTGAGAAAGCCCCCTTGACATCCACTAGGATCCTATGATAACTTTGAAAAACAAAGAAAGCTTTGGTGAGATAAGTACATTATTCATTAATGTGTCTGTTCTGTCTGGTTAAGATTTCATATCTTTTGTATTTTCCAAGGAAAAGGGCTGTGGCCTTCCTTCACCCTTCTAAAACCAACTGACATGAGCCAGTGGATCTTTTTTTTTTTTTTTAAGATTTTGTTTATTTGACAGAAAGAGACACAGTGAGAGAGGAAACACAAGCAGGGGGAGTGGGAGAGGGAGAAGCAGGCTCCCCGCTGAGCAGGGAGCACGATGTGGGGCTCGATCCCAGGAACCTGGGACCATGACCTGAGCCGAAGGCAGACGCTTAATGACTGAGCCACCCAGGTGCCCGAGCCAGTGGACCTTGAGGATGGATTCCTCTAGCCCCAGAAGGATCATTCAGGCAGCTCTGTGTGAGATGCATGAGAATTGGGCATGACTGGGGTAAGAGGCCAGGTGAAGGGATCTTTGTAGTGGTCCGGGGAAACACAAAAGTACATCTAAACCAAGGAAAGTGCTGGTGAGAATGGAAAGAAGGGGAGAAAAAACCAAAAACAGTTTTTCAGCCATTCTGATATGGACTCAGCTTCTCCCCTCCGAAAGCCTCCTTTGTCTGTGTCTGAGTGCACACATGCACTGTGTGCTACCATGAAGGGATGTGTCTCTAGTGACCAGCAAGCTGATGACAACAGCCTTTCTTCTTCCTCCTACGCATACAGTTAGATTAATCCCCAGACTGCCTTGCAATTAGGTGTGGCCATATGACTGAATGGAATGTGAGGGGAATGTATAGGCTTGGCTCACAGTAACTAGCCACTCCTCTGTAATCTTTCCTCTTCCACAGAAACCAAAGAAGCCAGATGTTGAAGATGATGGAACCACAAGTTGGAAACAGCCTGGGTCCCTGAATCAGCCTGGGGGAGATCCACCTGCCGGTCAGAATCACTTGTCTGGGACCTTACTGAGCAGTAAATAAACTTCTACTTTAGTGTTCCATTAAGATTTTAGGGTGCTACTTTCCATAGTATAGTCCCATCTCCTCTTGGCTTTGATCCATGGGTTCTCAAGTAGCCAGAGTAGGAGGGGTCAACACCCTTTCCAACCTCAAAAATCCTGAGCCTTAGAATACTCCCTCTGAGTGACGAGGGATCTGCTTTCCTCCCTTAGAGTGTTTGTGGAGTCTTGAGGAGTCACTAGAAGATAGTATCAGACACACTGTATACTCCAGAGCCTTCATCTCCCAGATCTATGTAAAGCACAATATAACAGATTCATCTGTAATTGGTGAAGGGTGGATTTAAGGCAGAGCAGCATCTCCTGGCTCTCTCCATCCATGGTGGCTCAGTTGTGAAGTACCAAAAGGCCCTGATGGAAAGAAGGCCCATTGACCTGGGAGCTGGAGACCTGGGTGCTAGTCCGGGCCACATGACCCTGGGACTCCACTTCTTCAACTAGAAACTGAGAAGCTGAAACAACATAATCACCTAAAGCCTCTTCCAGCCCTGACATTCAGGAGGCTTTCTCAGGGATTACGAATGCAAATGTTTATAGGGACTAAGCATGTAAGTGGGCTGGGTGAGGGCTGTGGCTAATCAGAGAACTCATGTCCTATCTCAGGAAAGCAGCCGCACTGCCATGTGAGCATGTGAGTCCAGGATGCTGCGCTTCTGACATCTTAAGAGAAGCCACAAATCCAGATTTCTTTAATACCAAATATCTTGATTTTTGTTTTATGTTTCCAATAAATTTTTACATTTGTAAGCACGAAGCGGACCAAATAAGGCACAACTGTGAATGAGATTCACTCTTAGAATGGCCAGTTGAGGACGTCTCAATGAAGAATCCCATCACTGGGGCCCTTGGGCCGGAGCTAGAGCCAGGCTCCAAGCACTTGCCAGCTACTTAGCTTTCAGGAAGTGAGTGGGGGGTTTCAGGAGAGATCCATGATGCTCTGAAATCCCGTAAGAGGATCCCAGCATATGCACACATCTCGCTATGAGGCCACAGCTTCTGTGTCTCCCCTAGGCAGCTCCCCCAGGGTTTCTTAACCGACCCTGACACCTGGGCTTCTTGTCTACTTCTTACCTTCCTCAACTCTGCCCTTTCTCCTGCCACTGTCCTCAGGCCTGCTGGCAGCTGAGTAAGGACAGGACCCAGAGGCAGTTCATGAAAGAGCTCAAGAAAGAGAACATCAGTGGTCATATCTGCTAGCACCAACTTTCGAACTTCAGTGGGACAGGGATAGGGAGGCTGCCTGAAGACTGGGTCACACACCTGACAGAGCCGACCTGGGAGAGGTGGGGAGGAGCAAGCACCAGAGTTCAGAAGAGCACTCCCAGTCCCAATCTGCCCAAGACAAACAGGAGGCCCCATCTGGCCCACATCTCCATCCTCATTAAAAACTAGCTAATTCCAGAGGATGCATTTGAGGCTCAAATCAAGAATCAGGAGATTCAGCTAATGAACCAACACCATGCTCCCTGGCTGGGGTGTGGAGGAGGAGTGAGGATCATGAGTCACAAGCAGCCAAGTCAGGCCTCAGGATGGAAACCCAGGCATAGGGCCTCCCTTCTTCTAAGCCTACACCAGGGCCAAGCCCAACCCACTGTCTGCTGGTTGTTAATTCCAGGCCTCAGAGATCAAACCTCCAAATGCCTTGCTTGGATAATGCTACTTTGGTGCATTTAAAAACCTCTTTGAGAGGGGCACCTGGGTGGCTCAGTCGTTAAGCATCTGCCTTCGGCTTGGGTCATGATCCCAGCGTCCTGGGATCAAGCCCCATGTCGGGCTCCCTGCTCTGCAGGAACCCTGCTTCTCCCTCTCCCACTCCCCCTGCTTGTGTTCCCTCTCTTGCTGTGTCTCTCTCTGTTAAATAAATAAATAAATAAATCTTTAAAAAATTAAAATTAAAATAAAAAATAAAAATAAAAACCTCTTAGAGACCAAACTCCACCACTCGAGGAAGCCCCTCCCAGCCAGGCATTTCCCAATTGTCCTTGTCCATCTGGACTGTTTCCCAGGGTGGACCCTGCTCCCAGTGACAGACATTCAAAGAGGTTTGCCGCTCAGGAAATGGGCTCATTACAGTTGTCCAAATGAGGTCAGTGTTTCACTCAGGAGGCTTCATCCCTCCTCTGAGTTCCTCACATGCACTCCTCCCCTAATGCTAACTCCTCAACAGAAATTCGGAAGCAGAAAAGATCCGGTTTCCATGCCTTCCACGTAGGGATCCAGGGACATCCAATCTTTCCCAATGTCTCTCTCTCCCTCTCCCCCCCCCACCCCCCCATCTTCCTGTCCCTCCCTCTCCTTCTCTCCCACCCCCTCCTCCCTCTCCTCTCTCCCTCTGTTCCTCTCCTTTTCACCTCTCAAAAAACCTTCTGCTGGAACTGAGGACTTCCCATTCAGAATCCTAAGGGAATAGCCAAGAAGTTTGGCATGAGGTATTCCTTCTCCCAACAGGTTTTTCCTGGTAATCTTAACTCAGTCCTAACAGTAAAAACAGCCTGGGGAGAATGACTCACTCCACAGCCCAGATAATGTGTACATTCTGTGCCTTGGCAGACCTAAGGCTTCCTCCCTCGGTACTGCCAGCAGGGTCCACCCAAGGCCAAATTGGGAAATGGGTAATATTTGTCCTCTGCTCTCCATCCCTTCTGGGCATTCTTCTGTCCCTCTGTCCTCAAGCTGACCCAGCCAGGCTGAACAGGGAGGCTCAGTCTTTCTGCATCCTTTCCATCACAGCCTCATGTCACAGCCCCTAGCGCCCACCTCTCTGCTGAGCAACACCATTGGCTAATGGATACACCTGGATGCAGCAGGAAAAAACACTGACCAGGGAGGCAGAAGACTCAAGCTCTAGTTCTTGCCCTGGCCTTTTGAGCCATATTTTCTTGAATAACTCTCACATTCCATTTGCACCATCTGTAAAATGGGATAATGATGCCTTGCTTGGCTTCTTCACAGGGATCAGGCAAGCCCTTGAGCCTCAGTTAGCTCATCTGTTAATTGGGGATAATAACACCATCCTTACCCACTTCACAGGTTTGCTCTAAAGCTCAAAGGAGATCACACATGTGCTAGTGCTTTGTACACAGGAAAGGGCTACATTCACAGAGGCATTATGAGCAGAACCTCTCCCCGGGGAGAGTCATGCATGTCTAACAGCAGCCTCCTAGAAACACTGCCTCAACCTAGAGATGTGAGCCTGCTGGTTGGCATTTGTGTACAACAGACCTGAAATGGAGGTATGATGAGACAGATGGGCCTCCTGGAATCTGGCAGAACACATCACAGATGTGGCTGCCTTCTCTGCCCACACTACTGGCCCATCTATGCCCAGGTGACTGAAGTTGTCCCTTCCTGCCCAACACCAGCAGCCTCTGCTGCAGCCTCTGCTGCAGCCTGCCAGCCCTATCTGGAAGGTGACCAGATCCTTGGCCATTTCGCCTTTGTTCCTCCTGCTCTTCTCAATAACTTTGGCACTTCCCAAGCTTTCTAATTATTTATTTATTTTGCATTCCTCCACCCTACAAACCAAGCTCCATGGGCCTGCTTAGGGCTTGCTCCCTCACAAGGTCCTGGGTGGGCGGGGGAGGGGGGGTGAGCTCTCCAAGCTAATCCTGTGCCTTGTCACAAAGCCAAACGGCACCAAGCAACTGCACCTTGTTCTGTGGTGGCCACGACAGCAGAATTGCAACAGTAACACCTGGTATTGATGTCACGCTGCTCACCAGGATGCCCAGAGGCAATGCACAGAATCATTCAAAAGCCTGTGCTGTCTCCCTGGCTTGTGTTCCAGCTGGGTTCGAAGTGGGGAAACACAACAAAAGAGGTCAGCAGCAGATCTGGAGAGACCCTGGTGCCCTGGGTCCCGCTCCAAAACTCCAAAGGAAGAAACTTTCAGCTCTGCTGCTGACGTGCTTTGCACCGAATAGGCCCTCCCCTTCTCCATGTGTTAGCTCTACCACTTGTACCGTGGGAACATAAAGAGCTCCATTTGCCACATAAAATGAGGGGCTACAGGAGGAAATTCCCGATCTCTTCGGCGCTGCACCAAGATTCTGCCCTCAGCCAACAGGTCTCTTGGTTCAACTTTCAAATCCCTTGAAGGTGACACACCTATCATCACACCCTGAAAACGAAGACAGCTCCTCCCATCAGACACGGGAAATGTAGACACCCTGGTACAAGAAACTTGAATGGGATGAAAAGGCAAGAAAGCATGACATGCAAAAGTGGAGACTGGTGCAGGCAGCTCATTAAAACCAACTGTTTGGTGTTTTGGCCTGAGGATTCTTTGTCCCCTCCCTCCCCATGAAGGAAATGTGGATGTGGAGGTAGGTCTGCCATCTCTTAACCGGGCTTTTGGGTTCAAAAGCTGGATGGCTACACTGCATAGCAACAGCAACCAGCTGCCTTCCCTCCCCTAAAACAGGGACAAGTTCACCTCCAACCCTCTAGGGAAGTAGTTTTAGGACAGTAAGGGGAAACCCCAGATGGGTCCCTGGAGCAAACCTGGCGCCAGTGCCAACAAGTGGCGTGGGCAGCTTCGGCACTCAGATGGGGAAGATCGCCAGGGGTGAGATGAGTTCTCAGGAGAAGCCCCTCTCTTCCACCCTGCCACTCTGCTCCCCACCCCTTCCCTCAGTATGAGATCTGGAAAACCACCTCATCCTACCCTACCCTACCCCACCCCCTCACTCCACCCCACCCCACCCCCCTTCTTCCTTTCCCGCCCAGTGGCCCCTAGCGGGGATGTGTTCCCGCACCAGTCGGGCACTGCCTACGGGCCCAGCGCTCGCCCCCTACCTCAGTGGCCATGTTCCAGGGGCGCAGACCGCTCCGAGCCTGCCGCGAGGCGGGTGGCGGGGGGCTGTCCGCGGTGCTGACTCCGGGAGCAGGTGGGCTGGCAGAGGCAAGAAGGGGCCCGGGGCACTGTCCACGGTGCTGATGCGGACGCCGCGGGCCCGGGCGCCGGTGGGTTGGTGGGCCAGCGGGCGCCTAGGTACTGGCGACGGCCGCTGTGCTGTCCGCGGTGCTGATGCGGGCACCGGGCCGGGGAGGCGAGGCCGCGCCCGAGGCTCTTCACCGCCCGATCACCGGCTGCCGCTGTTCCTACAAGCAACGGCCCGGTTTATCTTTGACAGCGGCAGCGGGGGTGGGGGCGGCCGGGGGAGGAGGGGCCAGGCGCCTCCACCGACCGGGAGGGGGAAACACGGCCCCCAGACTCCGGCGCCCGCCCGCCGGAGAGGAGCCCCGCCCGCGGCCAGAGGCTTAGCTCCCGCCCGGCCCGGAGGCCCCGCCTCTCCTGCCCGCCCTTCCCCCTAGTAAGAGCGCCAGGAGCTCTGCGCTCGCTACCGCGGCCTCCTGAGACTTCCAGACCCGGAGAAGAGAAAGGCAGGACGGTTCTGGGGCAAGACACTCTAGCTGGCGGAGGCTGACAGTCCTCCACGCGTTCGCAGGCCCCCACGTGCGGCCTCTTTACCTTTCCAGTACCCTTCCCCCAACCCCTCCTCCACCGTGGCCCAGGCTTCCTCTACGGTATTTTTTTCTTTCTCTCCCGTTCCTTCTCTGTTTCCCCCTCCCCACACTTGCATGGGCATTCCCTCCTCTCCTCATCTCTTCTTTTCACTGCTTTGAACCCTGTCAGCTAGAGGAGAATGCTGCAGACCGCAGAGAATCATTTCCTTTCTTTAAATATGTGCCTGCATTTCATCCCCAGAGAAACCCTGGGGGTCCCTTCTTTCAGGGAGATCCAGAATTTAAGCCAGTCTCTCCACTGCTCTTCCTGACCCTGGCCCCTACCCCTACTCTTCCCTCTCTCCCCTGAAATTCCAGCGTTTACAAATCCACCACCACCACCACTCAAAAAACACAAACAGATGGTGCCAAACTGGTTTACCCAGGATGTCAGGTCTGGCCTTGGTGCTGCCTTCACAATTTTTGACATCATACCTTCCAACCAAATGACCTACCTATTTGCTTAATAAACAAAAAGGAAACACCAACACACGTGCCTTTTTACACATCCCTAACACCCCTTGGTCTTTTGGGGGAAGCTGAGTCTGTTCCTCTGCAGCTCACTGCTGCCTGAGGGGCAACAGCAGCTGCCCCCACAAAGGGAGAGATGGTCAGCCAGGAGACCTGGAGTCTGGCTCAAGCTCCTCCTGCATACGACCTTGGTCAAAAGCTTCACCTCTGAGCTTCTTTCCAAAAAATGATGGTTGGACTTCACTAGACTATTTCTAGGGTCCTTTCTTTTTTTCTTTTTTTCAACCTTTTATTTTGAATTTTCAAACATACAGAAAGGTTGAAAGAATAGTACAATAACCATACTATCCAACTAGCTTCAACAGTTGTTAACATTTTGCCACATTTTCTTGATAGATATAGAAACAGAGATATGTTTGGCTAGATTATTAGAAAATAAGTGACAGATACTAAGAAGCTTTACCCTTCAGTTCTTCACCATGCCTCTCCTAAGAATAAGGGCATTCTACCTAACCACATTATCAGACCTTTACAGGTTTCATATCTTCTAATATTCTTGGGTAGTTTACTGCTCCTAAAATACATGAATCGCAATGATCTCTCAGAACTTTTCATTTTTAATAACACTCACTGAGCGCTTACTATGTGCCAAACCATATGCTACGTACCTTACATGTATTGTCTCATGTAATTCTCACAATTACTCTTTGAATTAAATGTGATTATTATCCTTTTATTATTCCCACTTTACAAATAAGAAAACTGAGAAAGTTGTCCAAGGTCATGTGGCTCATGAGGAATGGAAGCAGGATTCAAATACAGGCAGTCAATTTCCAGAGCTTGTGTGGTTGATCCTCCTAACCGTACTGACTCCTTTCAGCATCTTGTAGACCTTAAACCAGCAGAGCAGTAATCATATCTTCAACTGCCAATTTCACGGAAGAACACACTGAGTCCCAGAGGATAAATGACATGCCAAAGAAGTTAAAGGCAGATGTTTCATCCCACCTTAGAGTTTGGCCAATGATTTGGCATCAAGGGGCAAACTGAAAATCTCTGTGAATCCCATGGTGGTCACTAGTATTAAATAGCTGCATAATCTGATGATCTCCATGGATATCTCTCCCAGTTTCTCACACTTGATTTTGGTCATATTAATTAAACAACTATCTGGAAAACACTCTCTTTATCTGATAACAAGAGACCTAGATGAGTCCATTCAACAAATCTATTCATTCAACGTATATTTGTTGAACATTTACTATGTATCAGACACTATTCTCAGAGCTTGGGCTATAGCAATGACCACATGCACAAAGACTCTGTTCTTATTGAATTTACGTATTAATGAGGATAACAATCAATGGCAGATAAACAAGTCAGTATAAAATATGTTGAGTTGTGATCATTGCTAGGAAGAAAAGTAAAGCATGGTAAAGAGAGGTGACAGAGGAGGGTTATTTTAGAAAGGATAGTCAGCATAAGTGTTTTTGATAAGGTGAAATTTGGGCAGAGGCCTGAGGTAAGTGAAAGAACACGTAGGTACCTAAAGGAAGAGTGACTAGCTTAGAGGACAGTACAAGGGCAGGCGGCAGGAGTGGGCTTGGCAGGTACAAAAAATAGTAGGGGGACCCATGTAGCTAGACTGGAGTGGGCAAGAGGAAGAGAGATGGGAGCTGAGATCAGAGAGGTAGGAGGAGCCAGGTCATATAGGACTTGTAGGCCCTGATAAGGACTTTGGATTCTATTCAGAGAGTGGGATCAAAAGCCTTAGAAAGTTTAGAGTAGAGGCATGGCATTATCTAATTGCAGTTTTTTAAAGGCTACCTGGATGCTAGTGCTGGGTTGGGAGGGGCAGGAAGGCAAGGATAGAAGCAGTGATACCAGTTATGAGGCTGTTAAAGTAGTCTGGGCAAGATATGGTGGTGGCTTAGACGAGGGTAGTAGCAGCGGAGGTGGTAAGAAATGGCCAGACCCTAGATATAACTTGAAGGTAGAGCTGGCAAGAACTGTTGATAGACTAGGGGTGTGGTATGAAAGTGAGTTAAAGATGATTCCAAGTTTTGAAGTCTGAGCTACTGGAAGAAAGGAGTTGCCATTTACTGAGAAGGGAAGCCTAAGGCCTGAGTAGGCCAGTTGATTTAGGTTTGAAATTTGATAGGCATATTATACATCTAAGAGGAATAGGCATTTGAGTTTCAGGAGAGAGGTAGAGGGTTGGAGATATAACATCAAGAGCCACCAGTATGTGAACAGTATTTAAAACCATGGAACCAGATGAGAACATCTAGGGAGTGGGTATAGCTAGAAAAATGGTCCAAGAACTGATCCTGGGCACTTTGTTACTTCCAGGGTGGGAAGATGAAAGGCGAGTGAGAAGAGTGACCAGTGAGGTAGGAGGAGACCCACGAGAGAGTGGTGTCCCGGAGCCAAGCAAGAAACCTAGTAACAGAGTCTTACCAGCTGTGCTGAGAGCTGCTTGTGTGCAGAATAAGATGAGGACTGAGAAATGACCATGGGACTTGGCAGCTAGAAGATCACTGATGAGCTTGATAAAAGCTGTTTCAGTGGAGAACAGGGATGAGATCCTGATTAAAGTGGGTTTCAGAGTTTGACTGGAGGAGAGGAAGGAGGGATACTAAGAGTGGAGACAAGTCTTGTGAGGCATTTTGCTGTCAAAGGGAGTGAAGAGTAGTACAGTGGCCTGAAGGAAAAATGGGAACAAGGGAGGCTCTTTTCAGATGGGAAACATTAGAGCTTATTTGCTGATAGAAATAATCTAGTAAAGAGGGAAACACCAATGCCTCAGGAAGGAGAGGGTTGATTGCAGAAACAAGCCCTTAAGAGGTCAGCAAAGGATGGGATCCAGGGCCAACATGGAGGCGATGGCTTTAGAGAGGAGCACAGACAATTTTCCACCATGAATAAAGTGGAAGAAGCAAAGTAAACGGCCATCGATGTGAGTAGGTTCGGAGGTGTTGTTGTATAAGCAAAGACCTGAGCTCTACTTCTTAGTCCTCTTCAACTAGCCAGAGACTTCATGCACCAAGACCTTTCTTGAAAAGTCCAGTCAACCATTACATATGGAAAGCTTGCTATATGCTAAACACGGTGCTGGCACTTTTCTTGCGTGGCCCGGAGAGAGTTCTCCTTCCCACAAAATTACAGGACTGGGACTCTGTGGAGAACCTTGAGCTAGTCCATGCAAGGATGAGTGATCCCTTTTAATATCCAGCTCCCCTGACTGGAAAGAGACTTTAACAGCCTCAGGCTTTTATCCCCACACTGCCTCCATAGTTGCTACTAATCATGACAGACCTCAAGGCTTAGAGGCATCAAAGTGGAGACCATGGAGAGAGAGATCCACATTTGGAGTGGGGAGTTTCATTCTGTACTGGCTCAAAGCCAGTGGGATGCTACAGGATGGGATGTTCCCACACCCCAATCATTTGGACTTTAATTCTTGAAGCAGAAGAAGACGTTGAGATTCAATCCAACTAATCATTATTATCCAGCTGCCGTAGGACAAGCCAGTCCAATGCAGGAGCCAAGCTCTTTGATGTTTTTGTCATAAATTAATGAGTTCACCCACAAAATAACATCAAAGAAGATCTACTAACTAATTCATTGTTATCATCCTCCAATCGGCGGCTATGTTGGAAAGTCTCCAAAAAAAGGACCATAGTCAGAAAAAGAAACCAACTGAAAGATTTGGAAATTATGATATCTGGAAAAAGAGGAGAGAGAAATGAACTCCTGTAGACTGCAGAGGAGACGGGGAAAGAGCTAGCAAATCTCAGGGAAATGAAAAAGAAGGGGAGACAGAAAGATTCTCAACCCTTGGGTCTGGAAGGAAACTGGTTGCATGAATGCTTGAGGGGGAAATTGTGGTCTGGAAAGTCTTTAATGGTGTGATCTCAGAGCACATTATGGGGACTATGAGGAAGTGTGTGGTAGAAAAGTGTCCCTGGAGTCAGATGACATGGATTTCAGCCTCTGGCTCAATTTACTATGTGACCATCAGCAAGTCGCAATATTTCTGAACCTTGGTTCTCTGGTCAGTAAAATAATTATCCCTCCCCTGATAGGATCCTTCCAAGTACAGGAGGCTTTCTCTAGATGTTACCTGACTATTCCGAGTCTCGTCTTTCAAGAGGAAAACAGGAAAAGATTAATGGAGATGACTTGCCTGGAGACCTTCCCACAGCAACATTTCTTCTAGGCCAAGCGAGATTTCCTAAAGCACAGAAAGATCAGCAATTGTGTTTCATTTAACTCAGTCAGCAGCTACTGAGCACTCTACGCCAGGCTGGGCGCCTGCATGGCTCAGTTGGTTAAGCGACTGCCTTCGGCTCAGGTCATGATCCTGGAGTCCCGGGATCGAGTCCCACATCGGGCTCCTTGCTCAGCGGGGAGTCTGCTTCTCCCTCTGCCCTTCCCCCATCTCATGCTCTCTCTCTCTAATAAATAAATAAATAAATCTTAAAAAAAAAAAAAACCCACAGCGTGCAAAGGCAGGAAGGCATGAAAGGTGCCTGGGAACACAGAACCTCTGGAACCTGAAAACTCAGGAAAGCAGCTGCCAGGCAGCAACAGGGATGACTGCAAAGGCCCCAGAAGCATGAATGGAGGGGACCCGCCCTAAAAATAGTACCAGAACAGGCAAACAGTGACACGTGTCTAGAAGTGCAGTCACTAGGAGGTGACTAAGCTAATGGGGAGTTGCCTCCCTTTCTTGACTTCATTCATAGTCTCCCTCTACTTCTCTCTCTCGCTCCCTCTCTCCTCTCTCTCCTCTCCCTCTCCCTTTGCCCCCTTTCTTCCTCTCCCTCCCCCCTCCCTCTCTCTCTCTCCCCCACTTTCTCCCTTTCCCTCTCTCTCTCTCTCCCTCCCTCCCCTAGAGGAGGCAGAGTGGGAGGCAAGAGTCTATGAGAACTCACAGCTACTGCATTAGCCGAAATGCTCACCTGCCATTACAACAGCCCCCGTGCCGGGGGCCAGGCAGAGTACTCAGAGGAGGACCCCTGCTCTACCAGGGCCTCCAGGGGCCCTCTAAAGTAGGAAGCACCCAATGACTGACTGCAGGTGTCACTTCCACGCCAAGCAAACTGGCCACAAATTCACCAATCACTGCAAACCATAGCCAGCTGGGAGAAGCCGCAAGGCTTCTAAGGGATGGCGACTCCCTGAGGAAGTAAACAGGCCTGAGCATAAAGAGTAACCAGTGCTCGTAAAGCATCATTAATTATGAGAGCCAAAAGAGATCTTGAAGTTTAAACCAATTTCAACTGCAGAACCCTTTGTTCAAACAAAATCTTGCATGAAAGCCAGAGATATAAAACAAATAAAAGAAAGGGAGGCACAGCTTACCTCCCCCGCCACCCCCCACTCTCTACAGCAGCCCCCAAGACACCCCATGGGCCACCACCACCCCCAGCACTCAATAGAATAAGGTTTTTTAATCATCAAAGTAAAGCCCCGAAGATACCCCATGGGCCGCCGCTACCCCCACCGCTCACTACCCCCAGCGCTCAGTAGAATAAGGCTTTTTAATCATCAAAGTAACACATGCCCATGGTTTTAAAAATCCAAACATACCAAAAGGTTTATAATAAAGGGCAAGCGTCCCCTGCCTACTCTCTCTTCCCACCTTCCATTGTTTTTCCCCTAGAAGAAATGACTTTTCACTCTTTTAGCTGTTTCTCCTTTAAATTCTTCCAATAGTTGCCTTTACATTGCTAAATGAGATGCCTGTACTTCTATATCTTGATTTATTAACATTAGAAACCTTGTCCTGTTTTCCACCCTGACAGAAGAGAACTTAGCTCACACTGCCACCCTCACCTCCCAATATAGTTACAGTACTATTTGAACTTAATTTTTATTTTTATCAAAGTAATACGTGCAATTAGTTTAAAATTCCAACCAGGGACAAGGACTTATAGCAAAACAAACAAACAGGGCACCAGGGTGGCTCGATCGGTTAAGCATCTGCCTTCGGCTCAGGTCATGATCCCAGGGTCCTGGGATGGAGCCCTGCTCAGCGGGAAGCCTGCTTCTCCCTCTCCCTCTGCCACTCCCCCTGCTTGTGCTCTCTTGCTTGCTCTCTCTCTGTCAAATAAATAAATAAAATCTTTAAAAAAAAAAAAGAAAATTTTATTTTAGAGATGATACAGAATGCTTCTGGACGGTATGGGGGGGTGCTATAATAGATCAAGACCTCAGTTCAGACCCACTTAGTGGTTTTGCGTGTTTGGATAAATCCGTCCAATTGCCTTGGAAAGAAAGTAGCTATTGGCTTAGGATGGTGGGGGCTAGGTGGGAAAGGAGTGTCGAGAACTGCCAAGCCCCCTACCCCAAGGACAGCTCCTACTGTGCAAGGAACAGAGATGCTTTCCTCAAGGGTGACAGCCGCCATGGGCCCCACAGCCAGAGGCCATGAGCCACGGCCTGGGCCCTGGACACTGCCAGGAAGAAGAGAACGCAGTCCTGAGCCCAAACACCCCACACTATGAGTCCCACCTCCCAGCTGCATCTCAAAGCCCACCCGTCCCAGGAAGGCTTTCCTGAACCATCCCACTCCCAACACGGGGCTTTATAGATACCTCTCATGGATTTCATCTTACCGTGCTTTGCCTGGTAAACTCCTACAGAGCTTTTGGAATTCCTGACCACTGGCCAGGTCACAGGGCAGGTTCCAGTGATTGGAATGTTTCCATGGTCCAGAGTTCTGTCAGCCACTTCACCATTCCCTGCCTCCGTGTCATCTATTTCTGCTCCTTCTGGGCCCCCTGATATTTCCCTGGATCTATAGCTTCCTTAGCTGAAAAGGCATCACCGTCTCTTCATCAAGGCCACAACAGCCAAGGCTCCTGTTTCTCCCAGGCCCAGCGCATGTGGCCCCTGCCCATCCCTCCCAGCCTCTGCTCAGCACTTCTCTACCTCACACCCTCCAGGCCAACCGCAGGTGTCTCAGACTTTCAGTTCTCAGCCCTTCAACTACGCTACACTCTGTGTCACTTCTGAGCCTTCATATAGGCTCTGCCTGGAACATTCTTTCCCTCCTCTTCACCTGGATAAATCTTCTCGGGTCCCAATTTAAAATTCACTACCTTGGGTAGAACAGTTATTTTCTTTTTCCATACATTTTGTTTGTTCTGATTACATTCATCAAAATGTTATTCTTTATTGAATCTAATAATAAAAAATTGAGAACTGTAAAAAATAAAATATACAATAAAATAAAAAATAAAATTTACTTCCTTGGGGAAGCCTTCCCTGGCACTTTAGCTGTGGTTAAATGCCCCTATTATGAGCATCCTATAGTTGCCCTACAAAACAATCATATTTTCTAAAATTTATTTGTCTATCTTCCCTATTAGACCATAAGCCCCTTGAGGGCAGGAACTTTGTCTCCTCAGCTGCATTCTCGGCATTCAGCATAGTACCTGGGATATAATAGATGTTCAAGCAATACTTGTACAGGAAGGGAGGTTGATTTATAGGACAAAGGATGTCTCCATCCAGTTCTCCAACACTGAGCCTCAGGCAGGGAGAGGCATGGTTCCAATTGCAAAGGACTTTGCAGTCTGTTTGGGAAACCCAGCTTAGACACCATGACACAGTGAGCAGATGACAGGTGCCCCAGTGACCTACAGAGACAATAAGTATCATGGGAAAGCTGAGGTGGGAGAGATCCCAGGGGTCTGGTGAATGGATCCTGCTCCTGGCCCAACAGACCAGAGGTGGATTCTGAAAGATGAGGTGTTTCTTATTTAGATGGGAACCAGGCAGTCTTGGGGAGGTGCATGTGAAACAGCAGACCATGCGGCTCATTGGCACTACTCCAGAGAGACAAGGCTGGAGCCAGATAACACAGAGCCATTAGAGTGAGGCAATGGGGAGCCTACGAGGGAGCCCAGAGAGTGAGGAGCATAAGGAAAGCAATGTACTGGAGCGGGTCATCTGGGACCATCTCAGGGAGGGAATAGAGGGGAGGTGCTGAAGCAGGAAGGAAGCTATTGTGCTAGACAGAGGGGAGAAGATGGGTCACTGCCAAGGAATGAGGGCAAAGGGACATATTCAAGAAACATTTTAAATGGAGTCGCCACAGGCCACTGCTTCTGACTGAGTACATGAGATGAACGGGGGTGGGGGGTAGACAAAGAGAACACAGGACTGTCCATCCATCACCATGGCTGGGAGATGCCATGGTCAGAAATCACGAAGGCAGATTAGGTAACTCTACACAGGCCAGGTGTAAAGGATAGGAGAGGCTTCCATGATTTTTTAGGACTAAGCGAAAGACTATGGGTTAAGACTTGGGGCATCTCTCTATAGAAGTCATAGTTGACGCCATAAGAATGGGTCACTTGACCTTGGAAGAGGGATAAAGAGAGCCATGAGAAAGAGACTGACTGTCCTGGGGCAAGATGATGCAATTGAAGTCAAAGACACCTCAGTTCAAATCCCAGCTGTGTCACTTACTAACTGGATGGCCTCGGGCAGGTTCATTAACCTCACGGAGCCTAGGTTCCCCATCTGTAAAGTGAGGATAAAAATGCTGTCACAGGATTCTTGTAAGTAGTAAATAAAATGACCTCTGGAAATAGACAAGTTCAGCTCCTAGTCTGAAAAGGTATTCAGCAAAGGTAGACTGGTGGGAAGGAATCAGTGCAAGAAGAAAAGGGTGTCAGATTGAGACCCAACACCCTGGAACATCACAGAAGCCTGAGGAGGCAGAGTCCTCTGGGAGCCTGAATGAACAGTGTCAGGTATTCTAGAAAGTTCAAGAGGAACAGGATTGACAGGAATTACATTACTGACTCTTCTGAGAATGTGATTTTGAGGAGCACAAAAAGAGAGAACAGAGTAACAGAAAAAAAGCAAGAGAAAGAAATCCACACAAAGTCACCCCTATCACCCGGGATGTTTGGGCTGCAAAAGATTATCCTACGAACATGGTTTGGGCAATAAAGACATTTAATTAAACAAGAAGTCTGGAGGGCAGCAGCTTCAATGCCACTTGCTCAGGGCCTTCCTGGATCTCCCACTCCAGTAGCCCCTCTCCCTCTTTGTCCCTGGACTCTGCTCTTGACCACCTTGCACCTCACATGTTTACCTTCATCTGTTGCTCTGCATGTTTGTCGCCTCTCTCAGGCACTAGAACGTAAGCTCCTTGGGGGCAGAGATGATATGCCTCTTGTTTACCACAGTATTACACTTCCTAGCTCTAGGTTAGGCAAGTAGCAGGTGATTAATAAATGTTTGCTGAAGGAATAAAAAGGTGGACCAGGGTGGTGAGAGCAGGCTGACAGGGGAGACACAGAGGCAGGTCCAAACTCACATCCCTGCTCCAAGAGGGCTCCATCCACCCCCTCTGTGCCCAGAAGGATGTTTGCTAAGCCCCCCTCTGCCTTCAGACTGGTATTCAGGCAGCCCTGGGTATCCGGGAAGGGAGGAGGGAAGGCCTTCTGGATGCCCCTGTGAGTGGCAGCCTGGACACACTCTGCCCAGTGAGGACCCTCCCTTCCTCCATCTGCTCCTAAGGGGATCTTTCCTGACTGCCGCACTGCGTTCTTGGCAACCACCAGTCCAGAAGGAGACCCTGAAATTGGAGGTTGTTCTGAGATGAAATGTCTGAAACAATGCAGGAACGGGGGAAACGGAATAATTGTAACAAATGAAAAGACCCACCTCTGGGCTTTGCCAAGTTGAGCCGAATAGGATAATTGCATGCAAGACTCTAAGGGTGTGGAGCCCTATGGGGGAGGGGGGAGCAGCGCTGCGGAGGACACGAGAGGGTGTAATTACGTGAAATGGAATCCGATGGGAATTTTAGGCTTAGTGGCAGGAACCATTCCCTCCCAGTGAAAGCTCTGAGGTTGGACAGCGGTTTCCTAACAGAAGGAGTGGGGCGCCACCCCACAGGCATTTAAGCCCATCTTAAGCCAAGCCTGGGAGACTCTACAAGTATGGTGGCCTCACTCTAGAAGGCCGGGGTCAGCTGTTAGAGGGGAAGAAGTGATCTGATGGCAGCGTGGTATACTGGTGCTTGCTCGGGCTCTGAGGCCACAGGGAACTGGATTCCAGGCTCGGGGTCTGGCTGGTGGGGTGCGGTACAGGCAGCACTGGATGAACAGTTAGGAAACCTGCGTTTGAATCCCAGCTCTGCGTCTTCCTAGCTGTGTGACACTCGACAGGTCATAGTCCCTCTCTGGACATCAAGTTCTCCATCATCTAAAAGAGGAGGGTGGGCCTCATGAGCCTAAGGGCTTTACCAGGCTGGACACCCTGCTATTTGGAAATTTTCCAGTCTCACAGCTGCTCCTCATGTATGTCTGGATTTCTTTCCCTCATTCGGGTCATTTTATACACAAGACAGCAGGAAATCGGAATCTTCCCAAAGCTTCTGAAATTGAACCCACTGAGTGGCAAAGGGTCTGGCCAACACAGTGGGCAGGGATTCCCTCACAGGCCCCAGGGTGGCCAGCCTACCTCAGCGGGGGCCCTGTCTTGGGGGAGCAGAAAGAGCCAGCCAGAAGGACCAGGTGGAGATGGTCCCCTCTGCCCCCGTGGCCCCAGTCCTGCATAGAGATCCACAGCCAGACAGAAGCTAGGCCTTGGGGAGGAGCCCTCACCTCGTGGCCAAGATAGGCTCCAGGGTACCAGCTGGCCCCTGCCTTGCTTTGGGCAGGCCAGGGATGGCTGGGTCCCGCCTGCTCAGCGCTCAGCAGGAAGAGGACAGACCCTGCATCCTGCAGCTGCACTAGCATCCCATTTGTTGGCCCTCGCTCTGCATGACCCGGAGCTAAGGGCCTCATCTGTATTCTTTTGCTTAATCCTCACAGCCCCCCAGGGAGAAAGGTGGTACCTTCACTATCCCATTTTTCAGATGGGTAAGCAACTTGCCCAAGGTGACACAGCTAAGTAGGAAAGTCTGTCCAATCCCCATCTGTCTTAAACCAGATCTTGTCCTCTTTCCAGTAAGTCTCCATTGCCCTGGTGGGAATTCAGAGACTAAAGGCCCATGTATTCCAAAATCCCACCTGACAGCCTGCAATTCCATTAGCCACACCTCAGAATTAAAGCATTACATCTCTGAAGGTCCCAGAGGGGACACGGTAAACAGGAAATGTATCAGACTGTCAGCCACTCCAATTGGCCATAAGCAAGTGGGACATGGAGTCAGCGAGTTTTAGTAGGGGCTGGGACCAGGGCTATTGGGAGGGGAGGGCACCTCAGAGATCCCTGGGGAGGTACTCCTACAGGAGGAGGAGCCCGGCCCAGCAGAGTGATGGAGTGACCGGAGTGACTGTGGCACTTTTCTCCCATGAGTCTCAGCCCAGGGATCTAAAAAGAGTGGGGATGCATAAGGCCAGGGACGCTTCGGAGAGATCTCGGAGGGGGGTTCCAGCTGCATGGGGAGGGCTGCAGCTGGGGCCCTGCCCCCGGGATCTAAATCAGGCCACACAGGCTCTGGAACTCCCAGGCACTGGATTGCTTTGGGACCTAGGGAACTGCCTCTGGAAAAAGACAGGACACAGGCTGCCAACCATCCACCCCTGCTGAGTGCACTGAGTTTTCTGGCAGGGAGGGAGCCCCTGAGCAAGTGGAGGGGACTGTGTTTTGAAATAAGTGGGCAGGCCTGCACAGAGGGATGAGGTTGTTAACTAGAAGCCTACAGCTCCTGGGCTTCTGCCAGAGAGACAGGAGGGACTGAAGAAATACCTTTCTGAAGAAGCAAGGCGAGCTCGGAGGCCCCTGGTCATGGGCCGTCACTCCCAGCAAGGAAGGCCAGCCCCTCCTTCCTACCCTCCATGCTCCAGAGACAATAATATAAACAACAACAACATGTATTATTGAACACCAATTCTGAGCTAGTGCTAGGGATACAGCAGGGCATGAAACAGACAAAAGCCCTGCCCTCGTGGGGCTTCTGTTCCACTGGGAGTGACGAGCAATACACAATACAAATACACAGTCTGTTAGAAGGTGATAGGTGTAGAGAAGGGAAATAAAGGAGGGAAGGGAGATAGGGGGTGCCAGTGTGGGGGAGGGGAGGCAGTTGGCAATTTTAGATAGCTTAGCTAAAGACCTCACTGAGGAGAGGACATTTGGGTAAAGATCTGAAGGAGCTAGGAAGTGAGCCATATGGATTTCTGAGGAAGAACAGTTCATTAAACAGAAATAGCAAGTGCAAAGGCCCTGAGGCAGGAGTAGCCTGGCATGCTCAAGGCACAGCAAAGAGGACAGTGTGCCTAGAGAGGGGTGATGGGAAGCCGCATCAGACGTGCGGGAAGAGGTTAGAGGAAGGTCAGGTCATGTAGGGTCTGGGAGACTATCACAAAGCCCGTGGCTTCCGGGAGCCCCTAAGATTTGTGAGCAAAGGAGGGACATGATCTACCCTGTGTTTTCACTGAATCACTCTTGCTGCTGTGTTAAGAATAGACCAAAGTGGAACTGGAAAGCCTGGTTATTACTATCATTACCATCACCATCATCACCACTAACAACTACAATAACAATACCAGTTATTCAACCTGTGTCAGGCCCAGTGCCACTCATTTTATTTCATTAGCTAGTTTAAATCTCACAGCAACCCTGTACAGAGAGAGGGCCTTATTTTTCCCATCTTACAGTTAAGGAAACAGAGACTCAGCCAAAGTCAGAAAGTCACACAGACATTCCCCGTCCCTGATCTGGTCCCGCTCACCTGTCCAACCCTGCCTCTCATACCCCCCACTTACACAGCCCCATCCACCAGCCCCATCCAGCTACCCCCATTTCCCCAACTCCACAGCCTCTAGGCCTCCGAACTTTCTTCACATGCTGTTCCACTGCCTAGAATGCTCTTTTCTCACTCCTAACTGCCATGCAAACTCCAACTCATCCTTTGAGAGACAACTCAAGCTCTGCTTCTTTGGGGGGGGCCCTCCCAGATTGCCTGCAGCGTGGTGGTCCATGTCTTCTTCCTGGAAATACCAGCACTGCAACCATCCCGCAGCTAGCCTCCTGAACACCACACAAACTCAAGGCCGGGGGCAGCGCTTCTTCCCCACATTTCCCCAACAGTTTTGCAACCAGGTTCAAAATCCTGCAGACACTGTATTGGGCTATCCTAGGACATTTCCAATTTCTCCGGTGCAATTTTATTCTAAAGCACCTTTCCTCCATACATATTCATTTAAGTGCACACAGCACTGACCTGGGACAGATAGGCGCGGGCCCTCAGGCTGACAGGTGCCATCATGCTTTTGGAGAACGATGCTTACAACAGAAGAGGAGGTACACGATGCAGAGGGAGCCCTCTGTTTAGCCTGGGCCTTGCTTCATCGTCTGTAAACTGGGGCAGATGATGTCCTCTGGAAAGGGCCACTGAGAACTGGAAATAATGCACGTGTAAGGCCTGGCCCTAGGCGTGCCCTCTGGACATGGCACGAACGCCTCATTGCCCACCCCTATCCCTCACCCAGGCCTGGCTTCAGAAGCGTCTCGTACATTGGCACTTGGCCACCGTGCTCCTGGCCTCATACCCCGTGGGGACTCCTACCACCATTAACCCAGAATCCCCCTCCTGGCCAGAGGCCTAGCTCGGAGGCGGTGCCTGTAGCTTCCTGGCAGTCACCTGGCCCTGGCCTCCCACCGAGAAGCCCCCACCACACGTGGCCCCCAGGCCCGTCCCCACTGCCTGCCTATGTCTACAGGCTCATTCCTTCCCTCCCCACCCACAGCTCTGGCCCCACTGTCGCAAGGCCTTCCCGCCTGACAGGCCAAGCCGGCCACTTCCACACTTCCAGCAGACACTGGGAAATCAAAAAGGGCAGGGCTCGTGTGGGAAATAAGGAGGAGGAAAGACTGCACCACCACAAAGCAGGTCAGAACAATGTTTGATGCGAGAAGCTAGGCAAATGTCCCCGCTGCTGGTCTTTCGAGGCATTATTTAACATGTCGGGTCGGGGAGGACTGGAAAGTCCAGCTCCCTCACTCTGCAAACGAGAGGCTGGGACAGCGTAAGGGATTAGCTCGAAGTCGCATGGTGAGCGAGGAGGAGCAGGGAGTCTAATCGGGGCTGTGGGCTTGCCGGTGGCCCTGGTCTTCCTCCTGCACCGGCCTCCCACTCGGCAGGGGATGAGTCTGATCCCAACTAGCAGACAGAGCAGAGAGTCCTGGTGAAGGCCCTCTGGTTCTGTTTCCCTCCAAACCTTTCCAGTGCATAATCCCCAAAAACATGACGCCTGCTAGCCATGTCCTCAGAGGTCTCCAGGGAAGCCATCTGTCTGGGTTCTGGGCAGATACCAAGCCAGCTGATTCAGCTTCCCATTCATGGTCTCCTGGGGTAGCTGATTTTCATCTACTGTCCCTGCGTCTGTGGTTGCAAAGAACTGGAAACCTGAATGGCATGCCGCATTTAAGGTAAGGGAAGCTGGGTTCTAGTTAGCCCCAGCCTTCTGAGGTGAGCAGCATGGCTGACAGGAGGGCCAGTAGCTCAGAGACACCTAGCCCCCACCCCTGGGAGGCCCACTCAGCAGGTATTGTGAACAAACTCCTCCAGGATCCTGACGCCCTGCCACATCAGGAACTACTGAACGGCAGCTCTTCACTCAGCGAGGAGTCCCTTCCTCCGCATCCTTACATTCAGTCAGGGACAGGGAGCTCACTACCTCACAAGTTAGAAATGTTCTAGCAGAAGAGCACAGTATATGCCAAGCTGATATTAGCTTCCCAGGTCCTAGTAGGGTTTCTGTGGTGAAACAAGTCCTCAGGGACAATAATCAGGCCCTATCTAAGCACACCTTTCAGAGGCCTGGACACTTGGCCTGAGAGCTCCAAGTGTCTACCTGGAACAGTGAGAGAGATTCTCCTTGTCCAGCACACAGGCTCCAGATGTGGGTCACTGCTCATCCCCCTGCCCCCCGCTCCCATCTGCCACTCATCCACACTTACAATGAGCCAGACACAGAGCCAAAAATGTAACCACTAGACAGGACCTTCAAACTCGCCTAGTTCAACCCTCTCACTTTACCAATGAGGGCTCTAAGACCAAGAGGAGGAAAATGACTTGTCCCAGGTCATCCAGCAAGTTTAGCCCATACTGGCTCAGTTGGCCAGCCAGCAATCCCCAATGCACCCTACAGAAAGTGGGGGTGCTGACAACATCACAGCCAAATGGAGGACTCCTTGGGGCCCCAGAATCACTGCAGTGCCAATCACCAGAAGTTGACAGTCCTCCCAGAGCATCCCTGGCCCTGGCTCCCGACCAGAGTTGGGGCTCTGCTCTGACATCTAGGACGCTCTGGGGCCCTCAGTACCTGCAACCTGCTTGCGGAGCATGGGGGGGCATGAGAACGGACAGCCCACGTCCCTCCTCCAGTTATTTATAAAGTGTTTTCAGATGAGTCAGGCACAGAGCTGCCCAGCACCAGCAGAGACTGTTCCCTTGGAAATGCTAAAAATGATCCTGGGCTCTGGAATCCCACCCTGACCCTTACTAGCTTCTTGGAGAAAGTTCCAGGCAGGAAGCGGGACCACCACAGGTCTATGTGACTTCCATGGTGTGCCCACTAGGGGTCTGAGACCCAAGCAGGAACGTGAACTTTGACAGGCTAGTCTCATAGGGACAGATGGGGGAACCCCAGGCAGGGGAAGGAGGACTTCAACCAGGTACCCTCTTGGCATAGACCACCCGCGCCTTCCCGGCCAGCCAGTGCCACTCCCCCTGCACCTTCCCAAACCAGACTGACAGACAAGCCCGAGAAGACAGCTCCCACCCCCGCCCTCCAGGCACTGGCTGCCCCCACCTCCATTCCTGTGCATACTGCTCTCCACCTCCACCACCAGACCGGCTATTTATATCTCTCTGGAAAGAGAGCCGGAGCCTCCAAGCCTCTCCCTGCTTCCTGCTCCTGGCAGCACTCTAATTACTTCCTCAGCTGGGTGCCGCCTGCCATGGGCACCCTGGCTGGAGCCACCATAAATAACTGCCCCCGAGCTCCCACCCAGCTTCCCACGGAGGGCAGCCCAGACGCCCCGGCAGGGCGCGTCACTACCCAGGGCCCGGCCCCGAAGAAGACGCTCGTCCTTCTGTGAGCCTGAAGGCACATGAGGGTCTTCGGAACCCACCCTCTCCTCTGCAGCCTCAGCCGCAGCCCTGGAGGGGCTGCTCGCCTGTTCGCCGGAGCTCCAGTATGCCTGGCACACTCCACAGGAGTAGGGAGGACAGCAGATGAATAAGCCGTATCTGCCCTCAAGGGAGGCAAACGGTAAACAGCTTATTATACAACCAGGAGTGAAGTAAGTGCTAAATTAAGGTACGAGCTGTGCGCGGGGCCTCCAAGCCTCCAATTCTTCCTGACTTTTCTTATTATAAAAGAAATTCATGTTCCTTTTTTAAATTTGTAAATGCAGATAACAAAAAGAAAATTACAAATACATTCCCTATCCAGCCACCAAAGGACAGCTTTGTCCAAGGCTGCTCTATGACAGTCACTAGAATAATCAACATTCACAAGAAACGAATAGAAAGATTTCAAATCAAGATAATATGGATAGTATAATATGTTTGCATAAAAAAAAATTTTTTTTCAAAAACTGTTCAAATGCCTGGAAAATGTTTGGAAAGATACAGACCAAAGGGTTAACACTGGTCAGGCAAAGGGATAGGACAGAGGTGGAGGAACAGATAAAGGGGAATTTTTCTGCTAGAAACGTCTTGATTTGAATTATTACAATAAGCATGTATTTATATACGATTTTATAATTCTTAATTACTTTAAAACTTTTAAAAACTGCTCAATAATTTCCAAAATTTTATAGTGTATTATTTTATGTAAAAATAATATGGTATAAAATTTTACAGGTTTATTATCTTTACACTTAGAATAACATGATCTTAAAAACTAAAAGGAGGTGCAGCTGCTGTGAAAAACAGTCTGGTAGTTTCTCAAAAGTCAAGCATAGAATTGCCCTATGACCCAGCAGTGTCTCTTGTAGGTATGTGCTCAAAAGAACTGAAAACAAGTCCTCAAGCAGAAATTTGCTCACAATGGTTCATAACAGCATTTTCCCCAACAGCCAAAAGATGGGAGACAACCCAAATGTCCATCAAAGAATGAATGGATAAACAGACTGTGGTGTACTCATACAATGGAATATATTCAGCCACAAAAAGGAATTAAGTACTGATTCATGCTACAAATTGGATAAACCTCAAAAACATTATGTTAAGGAAAACAAGCCTGACACAAAAGGTCATATATTGTATGATTCCTTTTCTATGAAAAGACTGGAATGGGCAAATCGGCAGAGAAGGAAAGCAGAGCAGTGGTTGCTGGGGGTGGAGGGGGAGTGGGGAGTGGGTACTTAACAGGCATGGTGTCCTCCTAGGGCAATGAGAAGGTTTTGAAAGCAGAGCAAGGTGGTGATTGCAGAATACTGTGAAAGCACTAAATACCAGTGAATTGTACCCTTTAAAATGTTTAATTGTGTTTTGTGAGTTTCACCTCGATTTGTTTGAAAAAACACCAATGAAACACTAAAAAAAAAAACTCAGTCTCACTTGGCCCTCATGCCTTCCCCACTCCAGTCCCTGCCCCTCACCACCAATACCTCCTTCCAGGGCTATGAAGGGGAATCCTCCTACCTGTCCCAGCAGAACAGAGGCACGGGCCCCAAGAAGGCTATGAAAGACAGAGGAGGGGGGCGGGGCGCCTGGGTGGCTCAGTTGGTTAAGTGACTGCCTTCGGCTCAGGTCATGATCCTGGAGTCCCGGGATCGAGTCCCGGGATCGAGTCCCGCATCGGGCTCCCTGCTCAGCAGGGGGTCTGCCTCTCCCTCTGACCCTCTGACCCTCTTCCCTCTCGTGCTGTCTCTCATTCTCTCTCTCAAATAAATAAATAAAATCTTAAAAAAAAAAAAATGGGGCGCCTGGGTGGCTCAGTCAGTTAAGCGACTGCCTTCGGCTCAGGTCATGATCCTGGAGTCCCAGGATCAAGTCCCGCATCAGGCTCCCTGCTCAGCAGGGAGTCTGCTTCTCCCTCTGACCCTCCCCCCTCTCATGCTCTCTCTATTTCATTCTCTCTCTCAAATAAATAAATAAAATTAAAAAAAAAAAAAAAGAACTGCCCGGCTCTCAAAGAACCTTCAGACAACTACATCAGTACTGTTACCCATTCCTTTTTTTTTTTTTTTAAGATTTTATTTATTTATTTGTCAGAGAGAGAGAGCACAAGCAGGGGGAGCTGCAGGCAGAGGGAGAAATAGGCTCCCCGCAGAGCAAGGAGCCTGATGCAGGGCTCCATCCCAGGGCCCTCGAATCATGACCTGAGCTGAAGGCAGCCGCTTAACCAACTGAGCCACCCAGGAGTCCCTATTACCCATTCCTCAGACCAAGGTTCTGTGTGACTCTGGGAAGGGCTGAGACATCCCGCACTATGGAGGGCAGTCAGGGGCACCTGACTTGGAGAGGCCCCAAAGCATCCCCGTCTGCTCACCACCACTGCCCAGAGCCAGCTCCCTCCAGCCATCTGGTCCTCATTCATCACCCACGGGTTCCTGCTGAAGGCAGGTAAGGAGCATGGGGATGGGGGAGAGGAAGGATGAGGAGATGCAGGGCTGCCCTGCCTGGAGAGGGGCTCGTCCTACCTCTGCCCCCTCCTTCTCTTCTTCAGAGTCTAGATGCAGCCCTCTGCCAGCTGAGCCCTTCCCTGTGCCTTGCCCCGAGGTCAGGGCTGTGTTTAAGGCTTGGGCTCTCATCTGCTGCATGGGTCCAAACTCTGACTCAGTGGTTTAATGGCTCTGTGATGTTGGGCTCCATTTCCTTAAATGTTACATGGAGAGAATACGGGCCCCCACCAAATAAGACTGATAAATGAGAAAAGGCTCAAAAGGGATGTAGCACAGTCACTGTTTGACTTTTCTTTTCAGCCAAGCATCTGCTGAGATTACCGAAGCTCCTGGGGTGCATGGCTCTGTCTGGGCCCATCTCTCTCTGCAGCTGAGGAAAGCCCCTTGTTTGGGTAGATCCTGGTAAACTTGCCAGGTCTAAGGAGCGCCAGTGGGGGCAGATCTGTACAGATGTTGCAGGCCATGCTCCAGCCAGCCCTACGAAGCATTTTTCCAGATATTACCTCACTTTGTTCTTACCAAATCCAATGAGACAAAGATCACTGTTTTGTATATTCTAGACAGAGATTAGATATAAATATGTAGATCGAAATCATTCAGGTAATATTCTTTGTTCTGAACTCTACTTTCTCTGGTATTACTATAGCCATTGCCACTTTCTTTTGACTCGTGTTAACATGATATACCTTCCTCCACCCCTTTGTGTGGAACATATTTGGGTCCTTATATTTAAAGTGTGTTTCTTGAAAACAACCAACAAAAAGGAAAAGGCAACCTATGGAATATTTGCAAGCACATATCTGATTAGGGGTTAATATCCAAAATATATGACCATCTCTAAATGATGTTTAGACCACCTACATGTAATGAGATTACTGCTGTTCTTAGGCTCGAGTCTATTACCTTGCTATTTGTTTTCTATTTGTTCCATCTGCTTTTTACTCCCTTTTCTCACCTTCTTTTGGATTGAGTATTTTTTTTATGGTTCTGTTTTATTTCCTTCATTGGTTTATCAGCTCTAACGCTTTGCTATTTGAATGGTTGCCTTAGCGTTTATAATATACATCTCAACCAGATCACAGTCTACCTTCAAGTGATACCTTACCAGTTCACATCAAGTGTAAGAGCCTTACAATAGTGGGGCGCCTGGGTGGCTCAGTTGGTTGAGCGACTGCCTTCGGCTCAGGTCATGATCCTGGAGTCCCTGGATCGAGTCCCGCATCGGGCTCCCTGCTCAGCGGGGAGCCTGCTTCTCCCTCTGACCCTCCTCCCTCTCATGTGCTCTCTCTCTCGTTCTCTCTGTCTCAAATAAATTAAAAAAAAAAAAAAAAAAGAGCCTTACAATAGTATACTCCCATTTCTCCCCTCTGGCCTCTGGCCCCTCTCCTGGCATCATGACCTAGAAACTCACCCAAGGCAGAAGCTGAGATAATCACTGAGCTCGTTGGGGTCACTGAACCTTGTGGCCTAATGTCCAATGTTTTGAAAAACCTCTGTCTCATGTATTTGGTCTGTTTGTAGTTTTTTCATTGTTTCAGGTGGAAGGGTAAATCCAGTCCCTCTTACTCCATCTTGGATGGAAGCAGAAGTCCCCACTGTGTATATGAGGACTCCAGGGCTCCGAGCTAAGCTCCTTGCCCAAGGCGGGGTAGCCAGTAAGCGGCCAGGTGGGACTCCAGCCAGATCTCCCCACACCGGACCTGGCGCTCTCTTCCCTGCCCCGTCACTCCTGCATGAGCCACCCTGAGAGAGCAAAACGAGCTGGCGGCAGAATACAGCGGACTTTTGCCCACCACAGCAAAAAGCTGCTCACAGCGTTGTCACTGGTTTTGGAAGCCACCGTGATGACTATTTTGCAAGAATTTATCCATTAGATAGCAACTTCCAGCATCTTCCAAGCCTCACCTCAAATGCTCCCTCCACATCTTCAGAAGCTTCTGTGGCAAGCTGCTGTGGTGTCTGCTATCTGTTGGCCGGGACCCAGGGCTCTGCCAAGGAGGCTGGGACCCGCTCCGCAAAGGGTCCTCAGTAATCCATAAGATGACGTGACTGACCAAATAGCCTCCCCCCATTTACGCTCCCATGAGTATTTTCTGGTTGAACCCAGTGACATAACTGGTGGACTTGCGGCCACTCTGGTATGCGGAGGGAGGTAGTGCTCGGTTGTAGGTAAGGAGGGAGGTCCCCTCTTCTATTCACACTATTCGACTCACTTTAGGTCCGGGGACCTATTTAGCTACAAGGAGAGGCAAAGAGAGACTGGTATCTTCCCTTAAAATCACTTGGGGCCGCTGGCTCAGACTGACTCTGACCAGAGTCTGATGGGAGAACAGACACTAGAACAGCCTTCTCTGCACGCCACCCTCCATCCTGTGGGCAGAGACGAGCTGGGGACTCTGTTCTTCCCCAAGCCCTCTCCTCCGCCCGCTGACGCCTCAAATGTTTTGTTTGAGAAATCAGTCTGAAAGCGACAGCACCGACTTCCATTCCTACCCACCGCTTGTCACGTGTGTATCCCACGTAAGGCTCTGCCGTTCCACAGCCATGGGACGCGGATGACGTGGTCAACGTGGCCAAGACTCAGGCTCCTCATCTGTAAACTGAGCCTGGGAAGAGCCACCTCCCAAAACTGGTTTTTAAATAGCAAACATGACGCATCTGGCACAGACCGGGAACTTGGAGCTCAGGCTCCTCAAACCCCCTCCACTTCGGTGCATGTTTTCTTGTATTACCCATAGAAGTGTGTGTCGTGCTTGGGAGATTGTGGGGCTCACACAAAAATCAATGAAATGAAAACAAGTAAACACCACCCACCCGGCACCATCCAGATAAGAGGCTCTCGAACTTTGCTGCACACTGGAATCCCTGCGGCGGGGGCGGGGGGGCTTTTAAAAACCCCAGTGGCAGGCTGCACCCCAGATCCATTAAACCAGAACCTCTGGACCTCGTCATCAGGATTTTGGAAAGCTCCCTGGGGCTTCCAGTGTGCAGCCAAGGCTGAGAACCAGTGGGCTTGTCTGAGAGACAGGAATGCCCTCAGTGTCCTCCCCTCCTTCGCCTGCTGTCCCAGAGCATGTCCCCAGCCGGCCAGAGGCTCCCTGCAGCATAGTAACCAGGACCAGGCGAGAGAGACCACATCTAAGGAGGCGCTCATTCTTAGGTCCTTGCAAGTGCAGGGTGGCCACCTCACGGCCCTGAAGAGGGCCCCCTCACCTTCTGCTCCCTAGTCACCTTACTCTTAAGGAGGCACTCACTCTTGGGGTCATGCACCCTTCACTGACAAGGCCCTGAGACTGAATGCCTCCTGACTCATTGCCCAGCCCAGTCCCTGCCCCAACCACCCCCACAGACACCTCTCCACCCCCGTCGTTGAAAGCTCCAAAGGTAAAGTAGCCAAGGACCCCTGCTCTATCCTGCTCCCAACTCAGGAAAGCATCTTCTCTTTGAACAAATCACCAAATCCTCCTCCATCCCTGCACAAGGCCATGGTCCCGGCCCCCTGGCCAGAACCCAGCAACTACCAGGCCGCCTAAGAAGGCGAAGGGGAGACAAGGTGGCCCTCACTCGCCAGCCGGCCACTGTCCCACTCCCTGGAGTTGGACTCCTGCCCACATGACAGTTCAAAGATTCTGGGAAATGACAACACTTGGCAAAGGCAAGAATGACCTTTCCTCCAGGTGCAGGGTGGGGACAGGAAGGCTGGAGAAAATGTTAGCCTTGGCCAGCTGGGGGCCTCGGCTGTGCCCAGAAGGAGGGGGTTCAGAACAAGGGTCCAACAGGGGAACTGAAAGATGGAGTGGGGTCCCCGGCCTTGCCCTAGAAAACACAACATGTCTGACCCCACTGTCCTCTGAGCCCCAGCCCCCTCTTCTTGGTGGTTCTCAAATGTGAGCGACCTCAACGAATCCCTGGGGAACTCTCCTCCAGGTTCTGCGGCTGTAGTGCTGAGCTCCAACCCAGCAGCCCCCGTACCCCAAGACCCACTTCCATGGGCCTTGGTGCCATCAGCTTGGCTTCTGCTCCCCCCACTCACCCCACCCCCAGCACAGGCTTTTATGGATGCGATGGAAAGGATGTGATGAGGAGCAGGAGACTCCGGAGACTTGGAGACAGCCACTCTACCAGGAGGTCAAGTGAGGTCAAGGCCCCGTGCCCCCCTCAG